CCCTGCTCCTATTGGGCGCCCTGGAAGCATAAATCTTGGCCGCTCATCTGACGACAAGGAAGATGAAACTGCACATCTGGGTAGTCGAGCTCTCTTGGAAGATGACGAGCCGCTCGAAGTTGAAGGGATTATGGGGGTGCGAAACCAACCACCTGGACCGAGGCCTGATTATACCACAAGTCCCTTCTTGCCTTCAGCGTTTCCGCTGGCTCCCAACCCGTGGGGCCCTCCTGGTGTTGGTGGACATCCTTTGCCTCCTCCAGGGCTCAACAATCCTGTCTGGGGCGCACCGAGTGCGCCTCCTGGCTTTGGCATGTCTCCTGTTCCTGCAATCAACTCTCTTCGCACCTCATCACACCCTAGCTTCCCCCAACTTCGCGCAATGCTCTGCCAGGCTTGCCAGGAACTCGCTGGCTCGGGTGACCAAGAAGGTTATATCGACCTCTCAATTCTGAAGTCAAGAATTGAGGCACTGTCAGGCGACAATATCTCAGAAGCTGTTCTCGTTAATCTGTGCGACACCGAAGGAAACCCCAATAATGGAGGCGGTACGTTAGTTATCCGACAGAATAGTGGAGGTTTCAGCCATACCGTCCGATGGGAACCCGATCTAAACGATGGGTTTTATCGGGCAGTCGGCGCCCCAGGTGAGATTGGTAGCCCAGTGGCTGGTCAAGCAACTCTGCGAGGGGGAATATAGGAAGAGTCTCAGCAGCGTAAGACGAGCCGACAAACTAGCCGTAATTCCTTGTCTGTCAGAGATTTGGTGCGAGATAGCACCCCTCTGGGTCCCGAACCTTCTGCAAATTGTGATCAGCTTATCACCTTACTCGGAGGTCACAAAAGAGGGAGGTCGTCTTTCCACCTAAGGGGTTCGTCAAACGTATCTGATGATCGTTTCGACCCTTCAGTCACTGGATCACAAACCAAATGATTCAGGGTGAGTCCCAATATGGCAGACTGGCCCACTGGAACAGCATGAGCGGAGGGCATGAAATTCTGGCATTGTTCATCAAATGGAAGACGTCCAAACCCAAAGCGTTAGCTCACCTCCTCCGGGTGAAGGTATATTCGGATCCAATTCTAGGAACTTTGGCCCAGCGTGTTACCAATAGTCGAGAGGAAGATCTTACATGGATACCCAGGTGCGATTTGCTGCCAAATGTTGCAGTTGGAGGGAAGCGACGAGGAAATCTGAACAGCGTAAAAAAGCGCTGATCTCAATGAAAGAGTCTTGTTCAAGCAGCGGATCATAAGCATCATCAGCCTTGACTGGTTCCTTACAATGCATGTAGTTGGCCTGTGAAAATAAATGACGATCGTGACGATGATTTGTGATAAAGTGCCACACAACCGACCCCAGGACGGCTCGTAATAATTAGCCTTGAATTACCAACTAAATCTGGCCGTTTCTCTTGCCAATGTCAGTGGCTTGTGTTCGCCATAAACTTTTAATCGTTACAACTCTCATCTCAACAGGTGCGAGTATGTGCCGCGTGGGACCATTTTTGTGGAAAGCTACATGAACGACATGCGAGAGGCCGGATGGAAGCACACGTAATACTTTAATTCAACGTCTAGCTGTGACCGTCCCCATTTCATAAGGTAGATGAATAGAAACATTCGCGCACCAAAGTTGCAGACTTTATCCTTTCCCATTGCTCCAAAATACTCAAACATGTCATGTAAGGTTTGTTTCCCTCCGGGCCTGATATCAAGGTATCAAAAAACACGTCATCCTCGGCCTTGAAGATTTTCAATCCTTGGATATTTTCCCCGCGCTGGCAATCACACAGGCATTATAAAGAGATGGCGAGTGCTTGGGAACAGGCAGCTCCATGGAGAGCCGAAGAGCTCAGTTTTGAAACAAATACTCTTCGGACACTGGCTGAAGCTGCCTCGTTCCCATAGCCCTCCCTCGACGAGACCGATCCGCCTAGATTCGGTCCTGGAAGGGGTTGCCGGCGCCGGGGGCGGATTGGCCAGAGGCGTTGCGGATGAGGGGCTGGCGCTGAGCAGCGCGCTGCTTCTTTGTGGCGGCACGGGCCAGGGCGACAGCCTCAGACTTTGCGACGAGACGCTTCTGCTCCTTGCGGTCGCGGCAGCACATGAAGGTGAGGTAGCCGAGCATAAGAGCGGCTGAAGCAGCGAATACGATGGCGATGATGATACCAGCGGTGTCCATCTCTCGCTTGGTCATGCAAATATCATCGGAGGAGGAATCGGTTGTGCAGAGGACCTCGTCGCGGCACGAGCTGGTGTTGATCTCGGTGCTGTAACAAGTGGCGGTCTTGGTCTTATCCGAGACGGTCTCGAGATCGCACTGCTCGGTCTTCTTCTTGAAGGTGGTGTAGCAGTCGGTTCCTCTCGAGGTATCGGCACGCTTCTTGAGCTCACCAGTGGCCTTGGGGCCGTCGGTAATGGCAGCGGCGGCTTCGACGCGGGGGATAATAGCTGGCATGGGAGCGGCGTTGAAGCGCTTCTTGAGCTCACCGGCCTTGGCGAGTTCGGAGCATCGCTCGAAGGTGTAGTGAGCCTCCTTGGCGGCGGCCTCGGAGGAACAACCGGCAGAGGTGTAGCAGGTCTTGAGGGCGGCCTCGTCGGTCTCCTTGAGGTTGGAAAGGCAGTAGGAGAGAGCGCCCTTGTTGGCACAGTCAGCAAAGGCAGCGAGGTCCTCGTGGTGGTTGGCGAGACACTCTTGCTGGACAGCGGCAAGGGCATTGCCAGCGAAGAGAATGGCGGTTGAGAAGCGCATGATGAACGGGTTCAACGGTTTTTCGTTATTGTTTTCGAGATTAGGTTTCGATCGAGAGGATGCCCAGCAAGCTCTGTAATTTCTGTTGTCGAATACGAATTGAGCGCTTGAAACCAAGACACGCTCAATCCAAAAAGGGGAGAGGATGAATTTGGGGGAGGGTGGATTTGTTTGGTGGTTACGATGGGGAATGATAGGGAAAAAAAGAGGAAGAAACAAGGAGAGGGAGCAAGCGAAACGAAGCGAATGGGATGGGAAATGGAAGGGATTATCCGTCCGTTTCTTTTTGGGCTGAACCTTGGTTTCTCTGGGTGAGGGTCCTTGGAAATGGAGCAAAAAAAGAGGCAGAGGCAGTGAGAGAGAGGCAGGGGATATGAGGCGGCCTTTGGGCTGGCTGGGCTTACTGGCCACTGGCAAGCTGGCAGCAAAGTGTTACGGGCTGTTATTATTATTATGGGGATCTTTAGAGGGTTGCTTGTGCTAAAAAAAGGGGAGATGAGGAGACGGATCCTTTCTAGACGGGGGTGAGAGGACTTGAGCCACAATCGACTAAACCTGAAAGGGGATAGGACATGAGAAGAGATTGAGGGTCCTTGCCTTGGTCTTTGTTTTGCAGATGTTAGGGCTGTGATTGTTCTGTGAAGTTTTGGGTGCAGAACTGTGGTATTGTTGACTATTCAGAGTGGTAATGTCTGTATGTGCATAGTTGTCAGGCCCATCGAGGACTGGTCTCATCAATATCCATGCCAATGCATGCCCGCCGTGACGGCTGATGCTGATGCTGATGCTGGTGCTGATACTTTGCTGATGATGCAGGATCACAGGTGGGAACTTAGCTAAACCCGCTAGCCAGCAATGGAGCTGGGCTGAGTTGGATTCAAGACAAAGTCAAACATCAACAAAGAGAATCAAGACATGTTTACGCACATTACTATAAGAACAACCTAATCTATAGTAAAGACTCACCAAGTATCACAAGAAATTGTTACTGTAGATAAAAATTGAACGATATTACTGCTGACATGCTGAAACTTCAATCTACTCTCGGACTCTCCTTGCCCATACTACGTAAGCCCAAGCCTTGCCATGTCTTCCCGCAAGCGCTGATTGAAGTGGCTGAAAGAGCGGATAACAGCCAAGTTGGCAAGGATGGCGGTGCAGCGACCAATCGACGCCAAGTTTTGGACATTTGGTGCGACGACGGTTGTGGGGTGAAGGAGAGTGACCTTCATTTTGCCCATATTTGAATTGCCATGTGTTTGACAAACAATTGACATAACCATGAGTAAGAACGTCTCGATATACAGTGAGGAAATCAATCTATAGAAGGAATGAGAAGGGATGTCTTATAAGCGGTCAACAGCCTTGAGCTTACTCTGCCTTTGGCTCTGCTTACATGTATCCATAGGCGTTATGCAGCTGAAATGGACCCTGTCGCTCATCCCGACGCCATCAAACACCTGCACCTCAATACTAGATGGCGAAGCAGACGTGAGAGAAAAAGGAAGAAGGAATATCACATGACTGTACATTGCCCTACAAGTATTATGAGGCTCAAGTCTTAAATAATCTCCATATCGGTATCATCATGAGCTTAGGGTCTAGCGATCAATGCTGTAAAGCTTAGGCATGAGCATAGCTAACAAGGATTCAATCTCATCATACTTTAAGAGATTCTTTATTCTGTATTCTGTCAAACCTTATACCCGTAAACAGACCATCCTGATATTCTCCGTCTTCATGGTGTTATCTCATGGGGATGTACCGAATCAGCCATAACTCGCTAAAGATACAGGTGATGTTCAGGGGCTGAAAATGCCGAGCAGCATTTGTAGTGGTCAGTGCCCTCTGTACCTGAGATTGACAGAAAAGCATAATTCTAATGCCAAGACACATCACTTGTAAATCATTTCACCAGCAAATAACATTAGCATTGATATGCCCGAGATCTTGATCGATATAAACGTCCCCCCTCTTTCACACGCACGTCATGTTTTGTCCCTTGAGTAACCGACGCGTAGCCAATCGAACTGAATCTGGAGGTTAGCCATGTGAGTCTACGTCATCAACTTTGGCGTGAGCTTCCTGCTTTTGCCTCGTATGTAATGCAATGATTGCACGCAAGCTTTGAGTATAAAAGGAACACAAGCAACCAACACCTTATTCTTCTTTTCTTTACAACGTATAGTCACTACATCTATTGAACCATCTTCTACTCTCACATAAAACAAATACAACGCCCATCATGCCTCTTGTCGTTCCTGGTATCAACTCAACATCCGGCGATAAGGCCGAGGAATGGCAGAACAAGCTCGTCGGCAAGAAGCTTTCCGACGAAGAGGCATCGACCGAGACTGTATGTTCTCCACGGAACTTCTTTATGCTGTATAAACACGTTGCTAACGGTGACCTACAGGTCTTTGCTAAGCGAGACCTCCCCCAGGAGACACGCATCATCGAGCCAGGAATGATGGTCACAAAGGACTTCAAGGAGGACAGACTCAATGTTCACCTCAAGGATGACGGAACTGTTTCACATGTCGTCAAGGGCTGATCTGGTGGTGCTTGGTTGACCCCTCCTTTTGGTGGAGGGGCATTGTTAATGTACGATAAGGATGGAAACAGGATTCGCTTACAATGGCGAAGGCGTAAGAGAATAACAGGATCATGGATTTCCCTTATAATATGTCCATTGTGGTCATTAATTGTGATGGCGTGGTATTGTGATGTTTTCTGGAGACTTTCTGCTGTGCCTCTGTTTATTGCATCTCGAGATTTACCCCGCCACCGACGCCGCGGGGCACTCGTCAACTTGACTTTTCCATACCAAGAGCACCCCACCAAGACACGATACGACCCGACAAGCCCAGCTACTCTACACTTAATACTCTCTTTTTATTAACATTCAGTCCTCCTTGTTCAACTTCAGCATCGCATCTATCTCGGCACTGCCGTTAAATCGCCACAATGTTCAAGAAAGAGTACATTACCCTCACCATGAAACCTCTCAAAGCTCTCATCTAACCCTGACCAGAATCCAGGGCTCACCGAAGCAAAAGCTCAAATCATCCGTCCAGCGCTCCCTTCGCCAGGGCCTCCTCGACACATACCCTCTCCTCAACTCCTATATCGACGAGATCCTGCCTAAAAAGGCCTCCCTCTCAAGCATGAAGCTGACCGACCGCAACACCCTCTACGTTCTTGACTCGACACCTCTCTTCTACCAACAGGATCTCACTGGCATCCTCGTTCCTCACCTTCGTCTCGTACACCGCTTCCCTCAAGCGTTCCCTTGCATTCGCATAGACCGTGGTGCCATTCGCTTCGTCCTCTCGGGCGCTACCCTCATGGCCCCTGGCTTGACTTCCCCAGGAGGCAGACTCCCCGCCGATGGTGCTCCCGAGGGTCTACAAGAGGGCAAGGAGATGGATCAGAAGATGGACGAGGAGGGCCGATGGAGCAGAGAGCTTGTCAAGGGTGAGCCTGTGGTCGTCATAGCTGAGGGCAAGGAGGAGGCATGCGCAGTGGGAACACTCGTCGTGGGAACCAAGGAGGTCAAGGCCAAGGGCAAGGGACCCGTGATTGAGGACGCGCATTACTTGGGCGATGGATTGTGGAACTTGAGCACTGAGTAAAATGTGGTTTGGTGTTGGGGATCGGAGTAGGGTTATGTGATACCAATGAACAAGGGAGAGCACAATTCAAAGCAGAGAGACATGACCGAGATGATCATGACTGGTTTAAATGTATTCTGGAAAACGAAAAAAAGTCGTAAATAGACTGGTATACATCCGGGTTTTGGCAATGATTGAGTGCGTCATTCGTATGGAACGTGGGAACTTTGCACTGTCGACCGGCCATTACCTGTCGCGCGACCACAAGGTGAGACTCTACGACTGATAGAATCTACAGAGAATTGCTCTTCTAGTAGGAAATGTCTAGAGGGTAAGCTAGTCTGCTTCTGTTAGTCCAGACCTACTGTTAATATCGCATCTCAATGCGACCGGTGAAGAACGAAGCAAGGCCGTTCCCTTCCCTGGTTGTGGAGAACTCACTTACACGCCAATGTCCTCCAGTGCTTCGCTATAAACAGTATTTTACGTATGCAGCAAGAAACACAAATCGATCTGCCGTCGCGTGGCTGTCGGCTCTCATCACTCCATGGGACATCCCTCGCATGCGACCTACAGCTATATCGACCTCATTTACAACGACCATGTCTCGAATAATACGAAAGAAAAGACCTTCCGTATGCAATCTCGATCAATTCTTTGAATTAAACGAGGGAACGAGCCTGGAGGAAAAGCTGCTGATTACCTGGGCTAGGGGAGGCAAGAAAACTCAAGACGTCTATTCTAATTGACAAAAAGACTTGGGGAAGTTTAGTGTAGTTTTAGTGAATCTTAGACTAGTGTTTTTTGTCATCTCACCTCAAGGTCAGAAGTTTTCTTGCTCCTTGAGGCTGGGAAAGTGACAGACTGGCTGCATTTAAGTTGAGCCACTGGCAGCTGAAGGCCGATTATCAGCCTCCAAATGTTTACAGATGGCCCTCTCGATCGAAATAAAACAGAATAAAATCTCAGTTATATGTGTAGAAGTGTTACAGACTGTATCTCAAAATCATTTTACAGCTTTGGTCCCAGTATTATGCAACTCATGCCCAGGTCTTCCGTTTTTGAGCGTTTGACGTCGCCCCATATCGCATCTACAAACCGAATGAACCTCGGTCTGGACTTGATATAGCTACAAGTTTGTTCTGGTTGAGGTCTTGACGCTTGATTCCTGAAATGGGTGCGCAGATGTGCTTGAGCTCGAGTTAGTGGCGTTCCTGTGAATCCTGTCGTGTAAGGTTTGGGATTGTTTCTCAGTCCACAGCTACGCTGAAAGGCAAAAACTAAATACATTTTTCATACGAAGATTAAGGAGCTTTAGTGATTCTATGAATGTATTTTCGATGGTTGTAGCACATCATCCGCCAGAAATGTTGGGGAGTGTTCACAGCTTGAGAAAGAATGTATATGAGACACAGTACATCCTAATTTATGTTCCGAGGAGTGGGGAGCTTGACCGTGTCTATGAACCTTCTCATGTTTCTAACCTTCTGGACCAATATATGTCCACTCCTTCCGGCCTATGATTTCATATCCATCTCTGGCGCTCTAGTAGCTCCATCTCCAAATCACCCATCCGACAAACCCTAGTCCTGTAACCCAATGGCCAGCAGCTTTATATCTCAGCTCACCACCCCCATTCATCCAAACAACCAAACCGTCACCAAGTCTCACAATCGACAAAATTGCTGAAAACGTCGTCACGGCGCTCTCGTTGTTCTGATATTGCAACGCCATCAACGTAAGACCGTATGATATCTCACGAAGACCCTTGAAGTACATAAGAGGTGAAACAGAACCGCCTTCAGTGTTGGTTTTGCTGGGTTCGAGAAGAAGACCAACGTGACTGTACTCTTTTCGTGGTGAGAGGAGAGCCATTATCCCGCGGCTGACGCAGGCGCCGCCAAGGATGTAGGAGGGAATGGATGAGAATGTTGTCATATTTGCTTCTGGCACAATGCAGCTATTGTTTTAAAAGCTTAGTAGATTTAGGTATCCAATCAGGAGCCCTGAGAGTATGTGAATATTCGAGGTTGAGAAGTTTAATTGTAGTTGAGCGAGATAAGGATCTATGGAGTATGCTTACGCATATACCTCATTCAGTTAGTCTGCAACTAGGACATAGTCTATGTCCACCTCATGTCAACTCGAAGGTAAATTGTTTTCATTATTTAATGGTAGGCTGAATCATTGCTAAGTGTAATGAAGATATTCGTGTTGCTGCGCAAGAAACATCGTGTAAGTGAGGCACAACCCATCTATACGAAAACAAGTCGCTCGTTTCTTGACTGGCTGTTGATCGAAACTTGAATATTTCTCATGATTTACTTTACTTAAATCCACTCAAAATCCCTTTCTGGCCATTGACAAAGCTCATCTTCAGGTTTCAATTCATAGCCTGAGTAGACATTAGCAACCCCCGGGACTGTCTTGGTCACTCCATGGAATTCTGTCAATAGAGGCACATCCTTTCCTGCTGTAGAAGCTCTTCAATGTGGTTATCAATTTTGCAATTCTCTCGTTTGACATATCCATAGAGACACGGATATTCTAGGTTAGGAGGCAGAGCATCGATTAACCGGCACGGGGGTTCTCCAGAGTCATCTAACGGGCCGAGAAGAGCACTGATGCCAATGCTGAGGTGAGTTGTTGATTTGAAATCGTGTAAAGAACCAATGGTTGATCCATAGACACGATCATCAGGTATGTCTTTCAACCAGAAGGGGATGTTATTTGACTTCCTGTCGAGCTGGAAGTATTCGTCGCTTCTTTGCTCAAGACCCTCCATCCAATCGTCCTCCCAATTTTTGCCTTCTGTGTAATCAAACTCTGACATGTCGAGCTCAAGCACTTTTAAAGTATTCCTGTGCTGAAGGAGACTCTTCCCCAGCTCTTTGGGTCTCATACTATACCGTCCTGGATCTCGCTGCCACAGCCCACCAACAGAGATCTTGAGCGTTTCAAGAGCCTTGGGAGCACTGACGATCATGCACAGTGTTGAGCCGGAGACCTCGGCGTGGCTTAGATGTATATTCTTTATGCTGGATGTCCCGGGTGCAATCAAACCGTTAATTTCATACTCAGCGACGCCCCCCATATTTAGAGTCTTCATTAGTGGAAGCTTACCGAAGCATCGAATATACTCAAGAAGGTCAACATCTTCATACGATCTGATATCCAAGGAACTTTCTTTGACGAACTCAACAGTTTTAAGTTGTTGCAATCCAGGGCGACCAACTCGACCATAGTTGTTCCTGAGTAAATATTCCCTAGAAAGAGTAGGGAAATCAGCTATACGGATGGTAGATAGCTTTTCACAAAGAGAGAAGAGGATGACGAGCGCGGCAGCGGCAAACCGACGCTCGTTATCATCAAAGTCCCTTGCATTGTCCGGAACCTGCCCCAACCAATGTCTCTTCTTCCATTCCAAAGCCTCAGTGATCGACTGTGACAACTGATCTCCAATGCCAAGAGATGTAACGTGCCTATTTAGAAAATTGAGTGCATCGTGGTCTACCCCACGATTGGCGCGCTTTGGGTGTAAGTCTTCGCCACCGCCTGAGCGTAGATCATCCTCATTGTGAAAGCAAGAATAAAAATTCGGCCAAGGGGTTGTGTAGATGATGATCTCATGTAACGAGTTTACTTCTGCTGGATCGGCACTATACAAGAGGAGTAGAGGGTACAGCCTCTCAATGTCGTCTCAGGATGTGACTTTGATAGTTTTGTATGCTGAGGGCAGGGTTGGTATGAAATTGGAATATGATCTATGTACGTCGTGCGAGTTATTCTCGAACAAAGCATGGTTGTGTTTGACTATGTTGATTACGCTTCAGTATAGCGAGACTATCCTAGCAAAATTGCAACTATATCCACCAGCCACGACACTTATTGTCGGATCAACACTAGCTAGCAACAACTTTAGCAGCATCATTCTGCTCGAATTGAAGGATGAGTGTCTGTCATTGAATTGCTGCAACGGTTAAAACTTAATTGTCACTTCACATAAAAATGAAAACAGTCAATGATATCAGATGGTGACAACGTCATGTTAACTGTTGTCGTTGAATACGGGTTGATCAGCACTGGAACTCGTATTATTCCGTCCAATCTCGTTTGTTTTTGCAGATCAGGAGGACTTCTTAATCTGGGGCACTATAGCTGAAACTGGCGATGGCCCACTGCCAACGTCCTTGTATTTCCACGATATATGGTATTTTTGACCTGCATATTATTCGCCGTCACTGGAGCGGAGAAATTGATATTCTCCTATTCATGCTCAGCCACAAATAGATACATTTCTGCGAGGAACATTCCATGTTGAGATAATATTCTATGGGTCTTGATCTTGGCAGACTCTGATCATGACGGAATATTCCTGCTCCTAACCTAGAGTCTTAGCATAGGCCATTATTTCCGGGTAGACTTCCGCCCCCTAAAGAAGAAACTTTTCCGAATTTTATGAACAGAATAGCGGAACTCGGCATCAATCAGCAGATGTATTATTTCACCTGAAATATCGCTCTTGGCCAACGTGTCTCTGCATGAAAAAGCTCGCATTTACGAGCAGCTCCATTTGTGGCGATGGCTCAGAGACAAGTTCAATGCCAATGCCATTGTAAATGGTCAGTTTAGCTTAGCTTGGGCGTTGGGAATCGAGACTATGACGTCTGTAGCCAAGCACAGAGGGTCCACACATTAGCTAGGATGAGATGAAGTGCCTCGGCATCGAACGACAGGTTCTAGAAAGGCTGGATGTTGCTAATTTTAGAGAGAGCTTCAGCAGCTCAATGCCTGGGGTTGGGCTTTGGTCACGGGTGGCTTGCTTGGGCTGCCGTTATCCCTAGCGTGGCTGGCCTGACCCCACAATTTTAGCCATGTTCAACAACGCTTCTGGGGCCTGGACCTGGGTCGTTCGGCTCGACCGCCTGAGCTCTCAATGCATTATTCCTCCAGTTATGGGGTACAGTGGGTTATTTCAGGGAGATAATTGTTGAGTTGCAGTGGACTGTGGAGATACCTCGTATTCCTCGGACTGGGCTGGGGCTTAGAGCCCGTTATTGAGGCAACTACCGAAGACGATCCTTAGCTATGACGATGCGAGATGAAGAGCAACAAGGGAAGAGAATATGTATATAAGACTATGGACCTTATCTTCTTTTTCGACATTATCTCACTCACTCATCACTCACACTCACAACCTCAACCCAATCAACACTCAACCACCTTAAACAACCGACACCAACACAACAACCGCCATCATGCAGATCAAGGCTCTTCTCATCACTCCCCTCGTCGCCGCTGGCCTCGTCTCTGCTGCCCCCAAGGCCAGCAGCACTCCCAAGACCACCTACTTCCAAGGTCTCGCCCTCCGCTCCGCCAGCCCCGTCCACTTCAACTACCTCCAGGCCTCCAAGGAGTCCTTCGAGCTGAAGCTCAAGAAGCAGGGCGCCAGCTGTGACCGTGGTGTCAAGACCAACGAGGCCACCTTCCAGCTCTACGGCGACGAGCTCTGGCTCTACTCTACTGGCAACCCTCGCCAGCAGGCCTACGTCGACCTCTCCGGCATGGGCCAGGGCAAGTTAGGCTACACCACTGGTGCTCAGCCCATGCCCCGCAACGGCCAGCGCAAGGGCTGGAAGATCGACAAGAACGGCATCCTCACCTTCGACGGTGCCAGCTTCGTCGCCTGCCCCAACGGCGACAACCTCGAGAAGACCTCTTGGTCTGTCTGGGTCTACAACAGCATCGACAACCCCGGCGGTAACAAGAACTGTGTTCCCTTCTCCGTCAAGGCCGCCAAGGTTGAGAAGCCCGTTGGCTGCCTCTACACTGCTATCGAGCCCAGCGAGTAAATTCTGGTTCATGATGGAATGTTTCTAGCACATATTTTTGCATAACCTCTTGGTTGAGGTCATTGGGTTTAGAGGATGACAAGTTATTCATTATAATAGCGTTTTGATTGGGTCATAGAACCTGGATAGAGTACATACTCAATACTTATTTGTTTCTGTCACACATTCGCCAATTGCCATTGTATGTGATGTCTTCCACGAGAGTGACCGTCGGTCTACAATCCGTGTCCAGACACCGATAGCGCTACAACACTTCTTTCATCTGTTTGTCAAGTAAAAACAAACAAATCGCAGTGTATCCAATTGACCGCCTTTATGGCACTTGCAGCTCATGACAAACAGAATGACTGCAGAACGAAGACTCCTGATTCAAGACTTACCAAGCTTCCAATGCATGAATGTCGATCATTGCGATCTGCTAACTGTAATTAGCGCAGCTAGACCCTGGAAGCATACCCCAGCGACGCACGCCAAGACCTGTTGTCACTGCTCCAAGTTTAGAGCCAACAACCAGAAACAGCTGCAAAAAGTGAATACCGTCAGCAATCGATCGACCAGATCAAAATGTCCCTAACATAGCAATTGATGACGAGAAAGGCAAAAAATTGATCGCCTGTGTATCACAGGTGGCTGGATCTCTCCCGCCGGGAATTGAACCCGGGTCTCAAGCGTGACAAGCTTGCATACTGACCACTATACTACGGAAGATAACAGGTTTAACCTGTTGTAGTGGGTTGTGGTAGGGAGCGAGCTCACAGGCACTATATTCACGAGGCTTCCAGCGACAGAATTTGACCAGACAATTGTCACACAAGGGATGTTTGCTCAAATCGATCGAGTCATAAGTGGTTCGTGAAATCTCAGTCCGGGACACTTGCAATCGGGATCTGGTGTTGACCCGCCTGCACATGGACATGTATCATCGGCAGACCCCTTCTTTTCTACCAATTGTTCACACTCTCCTTGGCAGCTTAAACTATCTGGGAAATCCGCCTCCTTAAGCCCGACGATCAAACGCCAGCAAATGACGGTTGCTTCCCTTGACTTCTCTTCCTGGTCGCAAAATTTTGCACAGTCAGCTCAACGTCACTCAACACACACGAAACTGCGTCTCCCGTCTACCTTGAGCCCCTCGATATCTTGAGACCGAATTCTTCTGAGGATAAGCATGTGTATCAATAGTAAGGGCTTCTTGAGCTATTCTATTTGCTCTTGAACTGGGTTCCAAACGCCAACTGCGCAAAGCTATGAGTTCCACTGATTCTCTGCTGCCCTGCTTGATTTAAAGAAAGAAGCGGCAAATCAACTGCCGTCCACCTCCTTGAGCATATTCTGCATCCACAACCACGAAGAAGCCCACGCCGCCTCGAGCCGATATGGACGCACCGGATGTTCCATGACCTGCACACCGAGAAACCGACTGTTTTCGAAAACCAGCAATGATCACAATACACAGGAGCGCTGCATGATCCAGCAGGAGGCTGATGGATCCTGAAGAATCAGTTTGAACAGCAAGCGCGGTCCCGAGTCTTCTACTACATGAGCCATCTCGACCAAAACGGACGAAGCCAAAGAACGTAAGTAGCCATTAAGCAGGGGCTCGAATATCTACACTTCTGGAGTTCCTCATCAAAGTTTCCGCTTGCAACTGAAGTCCGGATAACAGACAAGTTCAGGGACGTCAGGGGCAAGACATCTGACTTTTAGAGCCTCCATCACGGCAAGTCTCCTTTTCGTCCGGAGTCCGTTTGGATTATCAGTCAGAAACCGCACAGATACTTTGTACCCTTACGAGAATAACAAAAACTATATCATTCCAGGTCAAAGAGCTTGTCTGTATGACCGAAGAGACCAACCAGCATAGTCTGTCGCGGTCAGAACGATGAGCTGCCCCCATGGGCGTGCAATACATGAGCTACATCTTGGATGATAACATGGAGTCATCGGTTATAGACTCCATAACCTACATCCGAGACGGAGGAGCCCTTTTCAAGCTGACCCTATGATCAGCCGGGGTTGATTTATAACATTCGAGCCAGCGTTGCGCCCCCTTTCGATTTGAACGGTTTTTCCGATTTTCGTCCCGCTGATTGTTTTTCAGCCACTCTATAGAAAACCAATCTCGAGTGACGATGATACTGCCTTCTTGGAGGCCTCAAGGCTTTGACCTCGTTCCTCAAGTATAAGATCTTTTCAACCCATGACTTACAAACTCCCCTCAGTCGCCCCTGACGATCGAGGCCATCTTGAGAATATAGCAGTACAAAATTGGGCTATCCATGATTGAGCCGTTGTGCCTGGCAATAGCTAAATGAGCGATCCATCCGTGGAACTGTATCAATGACCCGATATATAACGGCATTGATATTGCAGATCAGAGGTTTTCTCCTTCAATTCTTCCCGAGCCGTCTCTTGGTTTATAACAAGCCGTTTCGAGTTGGAGAAACAGTATAGGAGAGCATTCGGCATCAGACTCTGTATTAATTACCCCAGCGGCGAAGATGCCAAAATGAACACCGTGAGTCTTCAAGACGGTGCGGAATGCTCGTATGCTGAGGTAATCTATGGGCGGGTGTCGTTCCAGAAGAATTATATGGTTGGTAGATAGTACTATATCTGAACTTAATCAGTAGCAAAGATAAAGGAAGCTTACCTATGTAGAATCTCGCGATTATCAGCTCTGTACATACAGTCACAGATGAGAAGACTTGACATAAAACTTTAACGAAGCCATATTCGTTCAAGGTCTCCGGAACAACAAAGCACTATTTGATTCCGTACTTCCATATTGATCTATCTTATGAGATCTAGTTCGTGAGGATAACGGCCAGTTCCACGGGTCGTTCGAGATCGAAGTTCAAAACGAACATAGCCTTGTCCTTGAAACATGTGTAGGACTGATATTGATCTTCAAATTACGAGCTATCTTGCAGGGGGAAGAGACGGATTTTCCAAATCAAAACACTCAGTCAGCAAAGAATGGGACTTGGAGGTGGTCTTGGCCATGTTCGCTTCCGGCTTCAAGGCAAATTGAAGATTGTTGTTGTTCCCCAACACTGCTGAACTGACCTCGTGATTGTCACCGATGTGCAGGATGCGAACCATTCGGAGGGTGAAATGATCGAGACATTGAATGGGGAATATGGAAAAAGGCAAACGCTAGGGCTCTTATCTTCACTACGAGTGGTATGAAACGGATGGGAAACTTGATTAATATGTCCTTGAAAGTTGGGTTGCGTTTGAATTGTGTTCAATGTGTTGGCTCGATATATCTCGTCGAATAAGCTTTAACTATCAATCAACCCGAGGCAGAACAGCTGTCCCCCCGCGGTACGACGAATAACACGCTCTGGGCTACCAGACATGTCAGAGACAGCCACAGGAGGCACAATAAAAGGTACATCTTGATCTCCACGCGTTTGGTTGATATCCGAACCCTCAGGCACATCAGTGAGAAGCCCATATTGAACCACTTCCAAACCCCCAAGAGCACCAGTGAAAAGTACATCTTGAACCGACTCATCCAGCATCTCCCCAGCAGCACCAGTGGAATGTGCATCGAGAGCCCACTGGTGTGGGCTCACATGCACTGCCTCAAGAGCACCTGTGAAAGGTACATCTTGAGTCCCGGGCGTTCGGTTGTTGTCCGAACCCCAGGGCGCACCACTGGAATGTGCATCGAGAGCCCACTGGCGTGGGCTCCCTTGAAAACCTCTAAGGGTTTCTCCCAAATCATCTCCGCTCCCATCCAACTCTAGAGGATGCTTTTGATGCGGTGCCTTCCGAGTTCCCTGGAACGGGACGCCATAGAGGGTGGGAGCGCCGTCTGATTGGTTGCCCGAACTATGTAAAGTTCTTTCATGAGGCCCGGCCCTAGTCACAGAGCTTCGTTTTCCAACACTGACGGCGGTGCTCTCCATCCAAGAATGCAATCCAAGTCGTGTGCGATTGAAGAAACTTTGAAAGACTTGCTCAAACTGGCTCCTAGGGTCACACTCGATATGGGCCTAGGCAATGTTTGTGTCTGTCACGAACTTATGGTCGTAATCAAGGACCCAATCATGCCACCACCAGTGCGGTGCCAAGTGGATGTAAAGAGTCACCACTGCACTTGGGGAGAGGTAGTCACGGAGTCTTTCGTCGTGAAAGACTGCGAGCCAGGCCCGGTAAATTTCCTCGGAACGAAATTCGTAATACTCAAACTCCAGACGAGGTGAGTTGATAAGAGGATTGTGGTGGAACATGCGGAAGGGGATATATCGATCGATAGTGCTTTTGAGCTTGTCAATCTCTCGAGTCATGGCTTGGTCTAAGCATATGACAATGTGGCAAGTAACAGCGGGAGATGAAGGCCGTCTTCATGGCCAACAAGTCCGCTGGGAGAGGTGAGGATCTCAAGGAGAAGGGCAAAGACATCGCCTTGAGCGCGGCAATGTTTGTTTGCAGCAGGTGCCCCTAGCCTGGCTGGCTAGTGATAACATTGATGGGGATCGCAAAAGCTTTGCCATGGGACTTGAGATGGGTTCGGTAGCGAAGCTCAGAGCACGATGCCAAAGATTCGTGACGAGTGAAGGTACGTGTGAGAGAGTCAAGGATCAAGGCTCGCCAATCTCCACCCAAAGTCTTTGGGCTGCAGCAGTCGCATAGCTCAAGCTTGCGTTGTTTCAGTTGAGAGCTGTAGGAAGTCACAACTAACGTGGTAAAAAGGAAGAAGCATAATGTCGGACCATACCTCAAAAGTAATCCAGTTCTCAGATGGCTAGGAACCTGCGGCTGATTTTCAGGGAAGAAATCCTATATCCATAGTCAGCTCATATTGTTGACAAGTGTTTGAGTTGCCACAGGTATGACGATCAAAGGGGGCATCCTTTGTCAAGGTCAGGCTTGTAGTGAAACTTACTTGGCCGAGAATCATCCAGGGGTGATCCTCAATTCCTTCATCAATGGATCCAGTGTCACGAGTCGTAATGATAGCTGTTGGGATAAAATGCTGGTCCTCGTGGGATGTGTCTCTTTCCAATTCCCCAAGGGAAGTACCGAAACCCCATAGAAGCATTTGGCTGGGACTGAACAGGAGAAGGGGTAGGTGCCGGAGTATCCCAAAGGCTTTGTCTATCAGGAGGAAGCGGTTGGGCACTACCACCTAGAGTGACATGAGTTAGGAGATCTGGAAGAGAGGCGCCCCGATGGAAGTGGCCGGCTCGATCCGGGCCGTGATCTGGAGCAGCCACGATTTCAGCATAGCGTTGAGGGCTTCGGCTTCCTCGGTCTCTTTCGCGGCCATGGCGGCGAGTCACGCGTTCCAAGGCGCCTTGGAATCGATCGAAAACCGAACGATGGGGCATTTTGTCTTCGGATTGGGAGCTCGAGATCCAGAAGAGGGTGAGATAGCCTAAAATCAACTAGTATTAGCTTCGCGAGCGAAAGATTGGAACCAAGATGAGAAGGCATAAAGAATAGGAGCAAGCTTTGCCAAGCGGTCAATCATCAGCTCTTGCAGCGTTCAACGCTATATGGCCAGAAATTTGAAAGGGAGGGGATGATTTTGAAGGTGTACTAAGGCTGAAAAAGCATGAAACTGTCACCCTCCATTCCAGCGGGCTTCGAGGTACATTGGTGGCCAAAGTGGCATAAATTAACGACAAGGGAATTGAGGTGCAGCTGAGGCTTCGTGACATTTGCTCCAGAGTGAAAGAAAAGTTGGCCCCGGTAGTAAAAAGCAATATGAGGAGATCATCGTACTGGCAAGGAGGAGATGAAGGAAAACAAGCAAGCAAACATACTTTTGGAGGATATTTGAATGTGGAGGCGATGTTCCTTCAGGAGAAGATCTTATTGTAGTAGCTTGAGCGTGGAAGCGGCCAATGGCGAGGCTGGATAGAACACGAGATAGTCAGCGAGCTGTGTCCTGCACCGGAGGAGACAAGGACCGCAGACGGAACAAAGGACCCGAGAAAGGGTGATGAGGACTTACCCAAGCGAAGGCACTTCCTATAGATCCTATGGAACGAGCCTCCTGGCACGTTGATGGTTCGTAGATTTCAAGTGTTGAGAGGGGTTGGGAAGAGAAGACTGAGGATGGATGGAATTTGAAAGGGAACCGACCATGAGGTTGAAAAGACGGCGTGGCCCAAAAATGCAGAGGACAATTCAAATAAATATCCCGTCGACCAAGAAGTAAAGACCAGTAGAGATTGCCAGGGAAAAGTCGTGAATCTGAAGGAGTGAGGTAAAAATGAAGGTGAGAGTGGAGAGGAGGGAGGAGTGGAAGGGAAGAAAGCAGGGTTTGGGGACGACTCGCTGAAAGGCGTTCGGGAGAGGTTTACCCGTCAAGCTCGCGCTTCGGCGTTGGTGATTTTCAGTACTGAATCTGTGGAAAAAGGGGGTCCAGCCCTACAGTAACACAAAAGCAATGAGATGGAATGGAATTTGGAAAAAGATTAGAAAGTATTTTATGACCCAGTGAGAGTAGAGGCCCTGTTTTAGAGGCATCTACTGCTGGTGTTGGGGAGATAATAGGGAGTGTTCCAGCTGGGTCAAGCGTGACGAGGTCGTATGGATTATCTGAGCTCTGCACCACACAAGTACAAACGCAGAGCAACTGCTCAGTCAGCCACTGTCGTCTAGTGAAGACAATACAAACAGCCTGTTTAGATCAAAACTGCCAACAGAGTGAAAAAGAACAAACAAATCCACTGTCACACTATTTGTTTGCTGACAAAGATTCCACGCAGAACAGCAATCAGGTGTACAAAGACACCGACAACATGAAGAACTTCATCAATTCACAGATTCACAGATTTCACAGTGCACCGGGAGATGGATTTTGGGGGTTAATGGATTATGGTACAAAAAAATACACAGGTCTAAGCAAATGGTATATACACTTTCCGCCTCTATAGGCCGTCCTCCACCCACCCAAAAAATAGCAGTCTGACCTTCGACTGCTCCAAGAAAAGTTAGATTACGTGCGTCGCATCTGTAGTCGATGCTTCGACTACCGTGGAAAATTGCGAAATATGAGGGACTATGGACAGACAGTTAGTTTCATGAAAATATCGATCCGAATAAGTTGAACATACCTTTGAAAACTTGGACAAAATTTATGTGATTAGCCTCAAGACGCGGTGGTCTTGAGGGTTGGATAAGGTTGGCAAGCCAGTCTACTTGCTGTTGTCGAGGTTGAGTTGAGCCAGTCTCAGAGGGAGCTGGTCCGGGAGTGGCTCAGGCTCCTCTGACTGGAGCTCAGGGACATCGTTGAGAGTTCGGCGACGAGGACCCTAGCCACGCTGCTCTTGCCTCTTGGCTGATGCTGATCTCAACCTCTCCTTGTCTGCCTCGCTCATGTTGGCGAAGCAGTCAACGTAGTGCACCTTGGTACGGATGAAGTCCTCGGTGCGTTGCATGTCCCAAGTGCCGTTTCCCCGGAAGAGGGAGGACGGAGCAGAGATTCCGAACTCGGAAGCATCGATGCGGTCAATGACGATGGCGGACATGGCCTTAATTGTCTTGGATCGTCTTTGCCACCCCTTTTTGTCGTCCTTCTCCGGCGCGGCGACCTGAGACTTGATGTACTTCCTGATGGCAAGTCGTTGTTGCTCCCGGATGAATGCTTGGGCTCGGGAGTGGTACTCAGATTCTATCGGGAAAGTATTGAAAGCCTTCTCCCTGATTCCGTCACAGGTCAACGAGGTCTCGGAATAAAGACCCTTCTCTCGGAGGCGAGGCTTGAACTCCTGGACCCATTCTCGATAGACAGGGCGCGAGGACATGCGGCGACGGTCATTAGCAGTGCCGAGACCCATCTCTTCCTCGAAGGTACTGTAGCGAGGCAAAGAGAACATGGGACATTTGATGATGTATTCAAACATAGCCTCGGTGGTGGCAAAGGGACGCCAGTATTCAGCAACGGGGAGTCCAAGGAACATCAGGATCTCATCGGGCTTGCTCGTAAGTAGGACCTTAGCTTTCTTACGGTTGATGAGTTCGCCTTCTGGCACCCGGATGTGAAGACCTTTGTCGTCCACGGTAAGACCAAAGGGACGAATGATGGATCCCAGGATTTGCCACAAGTCGCCGTGTGACTGAAAGAAGCGCAAGTACTTAGCTTGCTTCTTCGAAAGACAGTAGCGGACGTCAACCTGGATGAAGACGCGGGGAGGATCTCGGAATTGGTTATCGTGGACAGGGCCCACAGGAAGGGGATCTTGGAAAGGGTTATCAGTCAGGATCGACTTGGGAACAGTCTTTCTCTTGATTCTGAAATGTCCAGTTCCAGTTACAGCTGGAAGGGTAGCACCAGGCTCTGAAAAGGAACTGTTGATCTGGGTTTATCGTTAGAAAATATTGAACATGGTTAAGTCTTGGGATGATAACACCTTTTCAAGAGTTCCGCGAGTAGAGTTTGATGCAACAGAATCTCGGCCCGACTGGCCACGTTTGAACATTGTAGACAATGAGAAGGAGCCTATTGATGTTAGTAGTCTGATCAATAAGAACAAGAGGTTCGGGAGGGAAAGTCACTTACGAGAAGACGAACCGCCGGTTTTCATTTTTCTCTTGATATAAGCAATGGTTCCCCATCTGCCAGTCACAGGAGCCGTTGCAGCAGATGCTTGACTACGCTCTGAAGAGGTGATACTAACGCCATCAGATTCGCTGGATGAGAGCTTGGTCTGTGAATCCCCAACTGTAGCGTCCTAAAATGAATATAAGCTTAACTCCTTGATAGGCAAGTGGGCATCGACTTACGGTTTGTTCCTTTGACTTTGAGTCCTCCGCGGCACTTGGCTCTGCGTCAGGACCAGCATCTTCCTTGATGTAGAGAGCGGGGTTTGAGCCGAGGGGATTAGGGTGTGGGCCGAAGGGAGAAGGTAAAGTTGAGTCAATGGGAGGTTTGCCAGTGGTAGTGCTGGGAGTAGGAACTGTAGGAGTATCGCCAGAGGGCTTGAACAAGTTTCCAGGAGTGATGGTAAGAGAGGAACGAGCAGAAGGGCCTGGAGGTGACGGAGGCGTGATGGACACAATCGGCGGAAGAAGAGCTGTCTGTCCCTGTGTCTGAGGAAGAGGGATATGCTCGGGCCATGGGATAGCGAAGTGAGCAGCGAAGTGACTAGAGCCACCTTCGACGATTCTGGATTCGGCGCCGAGGGCGTCAGAGATAGCATCAAGGACACTCTCCTTGAAGATATCGATGCCTTTCATGTCAGAGACGAGGACGTCGACGTCGCCGTGGTCTTTCTTGCCAGGGCCTTCCATAGGAACATTAATCCATTTAAATTTCTCACTTAGCCGTCGAATGACCGTGTTTTTGACCTCTAGATACACCCCGTGAGACATACGAGGAGTCTCCAAAGGAGGATCCGCATGAGCGAAGGCCTTGCCTCCCATGATTGCTGTAGTGCAGCGGAGTGTAACTTTGTGATAGGGAAACAAGAAGGGCAGGGGAATAAATGTTTGGAATGTGGGAGCAAATGATGATTGCAGAGGGAGTTTGTGAAGCTCAAAGATGAAGAGGTGAAGAGAAAAACAAGGGTAAGTTTGCAGAGAATCACCTCGACGCGTGCTGGGCGAGCGCAGGGGGCAACAAGCCCGAGGAAGCAGGATATGCTTCTTTGTTGTCAGTGATTTATACGAGTTGGAAAGAAGAGAGGATGATGTTTGCGTATATGATAAACAGGAAATGTTTGTGCATCACCACCCGAAAGATATTGTTTTGGGTGATTGTTGTGATGGTGGGTGGGAGAGAGGGAGGGAGAAGAGATGAGACGAGAGCGGAGTGACTCAATGGAAGTGATGCAGCTCAGCCCAACCCAGCTCAGCTGCGGGATACACAGCTACATGACCCAAGTGGGCTGCACAAAATTAGTACCACCTGTTAGGGCTGCCCAAAAATTTCCCCTCAGCAACTAACACTGGTACATATCGCTGCACCCCAGACACTCCAACACGACACGACATTTACTTTCCAAATCAACTTAAAAATCACTTCAACATGTTCTGGAGCGCGTATACTCACAGTCTGCCCTCACTCGAGTGGCTCATCGAGTTTCACCAGCTCCTCTGCATTCTCATCATCCTACGCTACGGCATCACCATCCGTTGGGAACCCAACCCGGGTCGCCAGCGGGCAGCTCGCGTCCGCCGACAAGATGGCGAGATCCAATTCGAATTTGCGTGGTGAGCGTCTTGAGTTAGTATCTAAACTTGGCCTGTTCTGCAAAACTTGGCTGACTTTGAAATCATAGTTGACGATCCCCTGAGCGACGCTGTCACCAAGTACCATCCGGCGAACCACAGCTTTCGGTTTCTTTTTGCGCTGAATAAGTTTAATCCGCCTTGCACTTGCTGCTGTCGTCTCTTAAGTTCGTATAACGCGGGATGGTAACGAATTTTTGAACTCTGCCTCGAGCGTGACTCGAGTGCCAACCACGGTAAGACACTCCCCTTGATTGCCTTCTCATCAAATGATATCTTGCTAATTTATAAAATCCAGATCTTCTTGTTTCCAAAGCTTTCAACGCTGTTATATGGTGTACCTAGGAGTAGCTGTGTAGCATCCAGCCACCTGGTCCTCGCCCAGGGGTTCTGTTTTTACAGTACGATGGTGGAGGAAAAAGCAATGATGTAATTACTTGAGGACAATAACAAATGTTCTCTAACTCTTTTTTCCTTCTCTTCGCAATGATCCATAGTGATATGCAACGCAACCCATGTCGTGATGCTCTTATTCTTGCACAGCCCCAAGGGTTTGGTAGCAATATAAGACTTAATGGTCATCCCAGAAGCTTTTCGGGTCGAAGTTATATAGCGGTGAAAAAGTTCCCGTTGCTATGACCTGTGTTAGCTGCCTGAGGTTTAAACCTTATGGCCGGTAAGTATCTCCATAGCTATGTGGTGATGCTTCGTAGTGAGCCTAACGTAGTGACCAATTTTTGACACTCCCGAAGTGCTACCCCGGTATGACGACATACTACCTGTATTGCCCTAAAAGTAAAAGAAGCCCTCCCTATTGTTGGCGCTTGAAGTGTTTTCGGGCGAGTTCATCCCTTCCTGTGAATTTCAAGATCAGATCATCACAAAATTATGGTTTCTTATCTCCCATTTCCTTCCTAGGCATATTACTGGCCTAACCAGGCCCAAAGTCGTAAGGAAAATAATAATTTTTGCGTCAATTATTTAATATATGATATTATATCTTGACGAAATTGCATGGAAATCGGCAGATTTAAAGCTTGGATGCCATAGTAAACTTTAGATCATGAAAGTCCCAAGTGCTCGATCTTGAAGACCGCACTGTGCCTACAGGCCATACAGGATAAGTAATCAGAAATGCAAATTTGTGCGTTGGGCATCATTCGTTCAACCATGACTTTTATCACCACGCTGTTGTTGCAGGTCCTCCTGTTGTCCACCCCCTTGCCCAACTCTGGCTCAATTTAACTCAGTCCTCCCAGCTAGTCAACTAAGCGTCGGGAGATACGGACTTCTGATGTGGTAGCTGATCTGTCGTTGAGTTTCTTGGTCTTCGGCCGTATACAACGTAGCTGCCGGACACACGTTAGCTCTTACTGCATTCCGAAAAAAAGGGAGCAAAAGCAAACACTTACAAGGGGACCCAACTGTGCATGTTTGGATTCAGTACCTCCTTTCGAGCCTTGGCCAGTAGTACTTGGAAATAATTCGGATCACCGTTGAGGATCTGTTCATATCCACGAGCAAACACGTTTCCAATGGTATCTCGAAAATGTGACAACTCGAACGCCCCAATCTCCTTCAGATGCTTGTCCTTAGGCCAAGGATTCGTAGGTATCTTGAGGACACGCTCTACAACATCCTCGAAGCCGGCATTTTCAAAGTGCTCCTTCCAACGAGTCGGTTCCCAGCCCGAGCAACCAATGCGCTGCGACATCTCAAAGTAGATCTTGCCCATCTCGATGTAAGCGGAATCAGGGGGCAATGTGCCGTCGTCGGACTTGAAGTCGGGAACTGAGCCAGAGAGCTGGAAGTAAGCGCCAGGTTTGAGATGGTTGAAAGCTTGTTGCATCAGACGAGGCCAGTTGCGAATAGCCATGATGAGTTCTCGGCCATGGATGAGATCGAAAGTTCCTTCGCCCCAGAGCCAGTCATCTTCAACATCGTCAATCTAGAGATGTTAGTATGGCCAAACGTGATGTATCAGTGCAGTGAAAATCAAAGGGCTGGCCACCGAGCTTGACTGACATACCTCGAAAACCAAGTTGGGCGGTATCACATTAGGCTGAACCAGAGTTGTGTCGACACCAATGACTTTAGCTGATGGGTATTGCTCGGCCATGTCGATTGCCCAGATACCTGATCCAGTACCAAGATCAAGAATCTTTTGCGGATGATCGGCAATAGGGGCCAAGTGAAGCTCGTTGCCCATGAGCATTGTGAACTTGCAGTGCTGGAGATCATTGCGCTCAACCTGTAAACTCTAATTAGTATTCGAGCTTTCTGAGACGAACAGTGCATTTCTCTTACCTCGAGATCATCACTAGGGATCCAAGCTTTGTGCAGGCCATAAACACCATAAGTTCGTCCGTTTTCTTGAATACCGCGTCGAATATCTGACGCAATGGACGTTAAATAGCTTGTGTTCGTGGATTCTGGATAGAACTCATCCTCAAGACCATTGTCGTCAAAGATGTCAGGTTCGATGCGACTTGAAGCTTGTGTTGGTGATGTCGACGGCGGCCCACTTGCTGGTCCCTGTTCATCTTGGTCTCCACGATCTGGGTCTCGGGCCTGGTCTGATGTTACGTGACCCGCTTTAGCCTCTCCCTCTCCGATCTCTCGGGTTGGGGAATGTTGATGTTGGAGCGAGGGTAGCATCGAAAAGATGATGACACGAGGGTGATGACTGAATCGATATGGTCTGTATGAACAGACACAGAGGTCTTGTCGTCGAAATTTGTCAAATCTCAATAAGAAATGGTCAAGATGCCATCATCAATCGTAATGTGAAAAGAGTTGGATCACCTTCGAACCCCTGTTTTTGCACGGGACGCTGCCACTAGCCTTTTAGGGGAGCCGGGTATTTGTCAGGCTAAACCTGTGAGAGTATGGCGAGGAACGGATGGTTCCACTCCAGGTGTCTTAGCCGTCTTTGAGGTACGTATCTTATCTCCTCCAAGTCTCCTTTCGGACTGGTTCCGATCAGGGTGAAGGTTGCCCCTCTATCCTCAGCTCATTCATGTCTTTGCTTGTTGGTTGCAGTGTTGCCTTGGAACCAACAGACCAAACACAAACTGCAAGAAACACCAGTCAGTCATGATGTCACTCCCGAACAAACAAGAAATCGACGATCTAGTCAGCAGCCTCAACGATGCTGCCAAGGCTTATTCCGATGCTCCAGATCTAAACGGTTACATGTCCAGGGTCCAGATCCTCGAAAAAGCAAGGACACTCACAAATGCCCTCATCACGCCAGATCAGAAGCCCAACTACCACGGTCTCAACGTGAGTCGAAATTTGATCCAGTTTCTTGGAATACGGCCAAAAACCATGCAGCTGCTCACACATTGCTTAGATCGCCGAATTGGTTGCTATCCGAACATTTATGAAGCTCAAGGTCCTCGATGCCATTCCCGCCGCAGGGTCCATATCCCTTCAAGATCTCTCCCAAGCCACCGGCGTTCAAGATTCGCTTCTAGGTAGGGATCCTTGTCACTATTGGCCGGTAGAGCCACAGCTGAAGTTCTGATCACCTTAGAACGCATGGGGCGTGTGTTAGGTCGGTTCCCTTGCCAAGGACGTTGGTCAGCACAGTCTTACAACCTCCTACAGTTGCTTCCGGCTTCCTGGACCAAACAGAGCCCGATGGCGGCGAGTATAAGCACACCAAGTTTTCATTGGCCTACATCCTCGATAAACCTGCGCCGGGCCACTTGTTCCTGGCAATGTGAGATTGAGCGCTGAGTGGCGTCGAGGCTTATCTAACGTCCCCCAGGTACGATGAATGGTTCAAACATATGCACAACTTCGACGACTACCTCATTTCGAAAGGAAAATACGAAGAGCCTCAAGACCCCCAGTATAACCCGTACACTGCTTACTGGAAGCAAGAGGGAACGCCAGTATGGAGTATCATGATGCAGAACCCCGAGAGATTTCAAACTTTCCAGACAGGCATGGCCGGCATTGATGTTGCAATTCCTGTTACTGGTCACTTTGATTTCAGCACCCTTAAGAGCGACCCCTCAGATACAGACAACGCGATTGTTGAGCTTGTGGACGTTGGTGGTGGTGAAGGAACCGTTCTGAACAAGATCCTCGAAGCTCATCCTGAACTGTCGCCCAAGAATTGTATGCTTCAGGAACGACCGGAGGTTATACAGCTTGCGAAGTCTAAGAAGACTCTCCCGGGCGACGTTCAGCTTGTTGAGCATGACTTTATGACGGAGCAGCCCGTCAAAGGCACGCTACTCCTGTCAACTCACAAGAACCATGGCTAATACCAAATCCAGGGGCTAAAGCTTACTTTATGCGCATGATCCTCCACGACTACGCAGATGCGGTTGGAATACAGATCCTCACTCGTCTCGCCGAAGCCATGAAGCCCTACTCTCGAGTTCTCATTTGCGAGATGGTCCTGGCTCCTCGTGTTGGAGAAGCTGATTTTGCCTCATCGGTTCTTGATCAGGCTGTTATGACAATGGGCGGAAAGGAGCGTACTGAAGCGGGCTTTCAGAAGATGTTTGACGCCGCTGGTCTCGAATTAGTCAAGACTTGGCGTGTGCCTGGCGTTCCTGGCGGTTGTGTTGAGGCGAGGCTGAAGAGCCAGACTTAGAAGGTCAGGACGGATGAAGGCAGGGAAACAAGTACAGCGCAACTGACTACGCTAAAGCGCACCCAGTTGGATATATGGAACAGATTATAGGATACGATACTATTTATGTCATCGGGAAACCAGTCTTACAAGAAAATTTGAAGCGATCCCTCGTCCCTTACGTTCTGCCCCTGAATTTTGAAACTGAAGTACGAGGCCAGCCTCTATGCTTTTATCTGTGTGTCATTATACCATTGAATACAATCCAGAATCCCTGTTTCTGTGTCCAAACGATTGTTTCCTCCCCTGATATCTATGGGCAGCCTTTGGAGATCTGGGAGGCCGTGGAAAGTCCTAGGCGCTTTGGGTTTCTTCGGCCTAGGGGGCAATTCTTTGGGAACTTTTCGACTAAATGACCTCCTCTTCTTCTTTTTCATGATATATAGGCGACTTGAAAGCTACTGAGAATAAGCTCACCTTGTTGCTTTGCTGTTGTGTAGAAAGCCGTATGTTGCGCTCTCGGTGCGTGCTACCCCTGAAATTCGCGCTGGGCGGTCTTTTGTCGCGGAAATCGGTTCAAGGGCTCGGTGGTGGTCACAACACACTGCTTGATGGTAAGCCTAGCTAACTTGATGAGCATCATGAGAGAGCATTGCGGATACTAGACTTTCATCTTCTTTCCATGCCAGTATTCTCACAGCGAAGGGGCCCCCGTCTTCAACAAGTAGCTATTCGAGAAGCCGCAGCCTCTACTACTGCGTTGTTTGGACTCATATGTACTCGGCATTCTAATTCTTAGGTCCCTTTCGGTTGGTAGTGTTGTAACCATTAACCTGTGGTTCGGCTTGACCTGACGTCTTCGAAATTTGACAGCGGATAAGGTGGGACGGAAAATACTTTATCGACACTCGAATACTCTGCAGCTAATAGCCGGAGGAGGCTGGTATTGAATTCTCAAGAGTCAAGGCAAAGGCTACAATCTTTGAAAGCTTGTATGGTGTGCTGTTGTGTTACCAAGCTCTGGCTGGCGTGTCAACCTTAATAACCGAAAATGTTCCGCCAATATCTCATGCTTACGTTACCTCAGGCGCGCCAGTCACACAGCAGTAATCCTCCAATCAACAAAGACATATTTGATTTTACTGGCCCTTACAATCATCAAAATAGCACTACGATACCCCTGACTGAGTAACCTTTTTCTGCTTTGTCTTCAGGTCTTCCAACTTTCGATTCAGGGGCTCATGACTGCACTTGAAGTACTGTATGACAGAAGCATGCGTAGCGGCCTCTTCGACGTTTAAATCAACGATTCGCACGCAGCTGCTTCGTAGGGAACTAGAGAACTCCGACAAAGGATAATGAAGTCTCATGGTCCTCAAACTTCTCCTTGTAACATCAGACATATTTTCTGTTGAGTTTGTGTTAACGGATTCCTGTCAGGTCCGCTATCCAACAAACAAACTCGGCGCAATCCATTACAAGAAACCAGGCATCCAGCAGCAACTCCCATGGCTGCTTCATCATTGAAGCATTGCCCGCCCGACCTCACACAATATACCGAAAGACCGGGGTTCGCAATGTAACGCCCGGTCCACAATCCAACGCAAGAATACTTTATCTTGAGTTGTCCTGTCGGGGGCTTTTGCTACCGTCCTGTAGACCCCTATGTAGATGCTACAAGACGGAAACCTGGAAGGATCTTAAATGGCCTTAGACTACCGTTCTTTGGGGAGTGGGGGAGCTTGTTTCAGCTTGCTTAGCCTGTTGTGACTTTCCAGTAGCCGTTGTGGTATAAAAGGCTGGTGTAACAAAAGTTTTGAGGTGATAATCTTTAGGCTCTGACGTGTCAAATCAAATTTTATCTCATGTCTCAGATGTAACTTTTGTACAAATTTTCTGTTGTGTCTGGGCGTACAAAAACTGCAAAGTGACTGTTCTAGAATTGCATGTCTGCGTGGAGTGGCTGTTGTGCTACTGGGGAAGCTTTAGGGTAGGATGGATAGAAGCAATGAAAGTGTGTAACGCGTTCAACACCACCAAATTCAAGTGCAAATATGAAGATTCTTAAGGCATTTATCATTACTTGCGTACTTTCCTTCATCATTCGCTTTATTGTTGCAATTGAAAAGATGTCCTGATAGGCAGCCTCAATTGGTCGAGTGCATCATCGGTGGAGGAACTCAAGAACACCTCCCATTTCTGAACTTGGTGTACAAAGCAGCAACTTTTGGAACATTTACATCTTTTCACTTCTCACAAGGAAAATCATTTATTAGCCCCATAACAAAGCCAACTTGCAAGACAACCTCGGATCACAGCCTGCGGGGTTACAAGGATTCTCCATCCTTTTCTTACGAACTAAACCACCATTGGAAGCTCCCGATCCAAAAACGATTATACACGCGATAAACCTGGTCGATCTAGAAGAGGCTGGTTCCTCTGGGAGATGAGATAAATACCCCCAATCACCGTACCCGTCCGCAAATTGACTGACACATTTCTTACAGTTCTGTTCTGACTTTCTTTGCCAACTTCTGTCAACATTACCCTTTTATCGCCATAATGCGCCCATTCGCTCTCTCTGCTGCCGTTTTTGCGGCCACCGCCCTCAGTCAAAAGAATGGGAAGGAAACGGAATGCGCAGATGGATTGTACATGATTGCTGCACGAGGCACCGGTGAGGACAAGGGATCTGGCAGAATCGGAGAGATCGCAGAGGATGTTGCCAAACGCGTCAAGGGCTCAATCATCAGCCCTCTTGACTATCCCGCAACTCTTGAGGACCCAGGCTACTTCGATTCCGAGGAAGCCGGCGTCAAGGCCCTGTCGACCGCCCTCGATGGCTATCACAGCTCATGTCCCAACGGTAAAATTGCCGTGTTTGGCTACTCTCAGGTTGGTTAACCTCCAACGACGTAAGACGCACTGCTAATGAACAACCAGGGTGGACAAGTTGCAAGTGATGTCTTCTGCGGAGGAAGCGACAACAAGCCCTTGACCATGAGTCTCGTCAAAGACAGCGGTGAGCATCCCTGCAGGCATCTATTGCAGATACAGAAACTAAATGAAGCAGTTGTTGCGGTCATCGTGTTCGGCGACCCAAGCCACGTGGCAAACTTGACGTACGACAGGGGCAATAGCAAAAACGACGGAGTGAGTGTACAAGGGCATGTCGTGAAACGAATCTCAACTCTAACGCTTGATTACAGCTCTTCGAACGCAACAACACAAAGTTGTGCGAGGACAACTACAGCGACATCATCCGCTCGTACTGTGACACAGGCGATAAGTACTGCGATCTGGGTAACAACAACGAGACCCATGGTAGTTACTTTGAGAAGTACGGTAAAGAGGTGGTCGATTTTGTCGTTGAGCGGTATGAGAAGGCGCTGAAAGAGGAGAGTACATCAACACAAACTAGCACGGCTACAGCTACTGCTGAGACAAGTGGTTCCGCAACATCTACTGATGCACCGGTGACCGCTACAGTTGCTCCAGGCAATGCTGCGGCGGGATTGGTACCTGGTCTTGTCCTGGCTATGATACCCCTGGCTTTGGCCATGTCGGAGTTTCTTTATTAGGATCTCGTGGTATGGGAAGGATATCCTACTGTATGCTTAGTTCGAGTATTGCTTTCATTCGATGAACTGGGCTAAAGGGCCGGTTAAGACTTGGAAATGGTAAATGTGGTCTTTCGATCCGTAAGACAATTCTTTCGATCTTTGTGCTTACTGCTTATATATGTACACATCTGATTTCAAACTTAGGATATCCAATACTTGACACGGGATTTTTATCCAATTGACGAAAATGAAACAAATGACTAGAACCCCGAGCTAGAGGTACAAACAAACTTGCGAAGTAGTCAAACTGGACTTCCTCGAACAAGGAAATGCATCCCTACTGTATGTAGCATGGGCACTATGGGTTAAAGTAGTTGCCCATGAATTCTCAGCTTTCGTCTTAGTACACAAACGCTAGAGATATCGTTACATCCCTTGCTAGGGTCGCCACGCTATTTGGAAAGCATGAATATCTGATCGGCCAATAGGAAGAGGATTTATACCACCCCCTTCCTTGGGCCAATCACTGCTGGTAGGCGGGTAAGCACAATTGACAACCTGTTGGCCATACTTGGGGACTTCATGAAGTATTGATCCTTTCAGGGGCTGGGCTTGCTGATCGTGCATGTGAAGTCGCCAGATATGCTTCGTCTTTCTTTCAAGCCATCTGATCGGAATATCTCGACAATTTTCGGAAATAATTTGTTCGACTCGATGTTTGAGTGTCTTCAGGGGCCTAAATCGCTCTCACAGAGTTGGGAGATGGGGATCTAGTTATTCGTGGTAGATGTCTCGTCGGATCGGCTGGTTTGCTCTGTGGAAGTCAACGAACTGAGTCAAGAAATACAGATACACTCTGTCCTTCCCTAGTGAAGATATAACATAAATCCAAACAGATTGCGCATTAACGAGCTCTTTGATGCTGTGGGGGAGATTGTTGCACAAACAAAGCTTTTGCTCGTGGGAGGCATGGTGACTTACCGTAGGACAGCAATATACGAGCTCGACTTACAAAGCAAGAGCATGACTCCTGAGTAGCCTCGCCAAATAAAGGATTTCCCATTTTGTCCAGCATTGAATCCCCGAACTGTACAGACAACAACAAATGCAGGGGCTGCCACGAAGATGATATGATGGAAGTTGATTCTGCGGCCAGCAAGTTGCTGATGGTCGTTTGATAATCCCAAAGAAGAGAACAAGGGTGTTCTCTCGGGTCGTGCCCGTCGTATCGCAGGCTCGGGGGCTTAGCGGATGTATAATTTTCAAACTTACGAGGTGAAGACGGTACGGCTTGTTTAAGTTCGGCTTAGGAATACGCTCGAGATAGAAGGCGGCCGTTGTCTGGATAGTCGGGACCCACGCAGGGAATCTATTACCGAATATGATTAGCATTTGAACGTCTCGGAACCTGAACTTAAAAGAACGATCAGCCCGACAGCCACTCTATCACTAACCTCAAAGCCTAACGTAAATACCGGGATAGGTTGATCAACCTTGACGCTCTGAGGTCTACCGCCCAGTTGGATTGTTGACCACCACCCAGGAGGTGACATAGGGGTATGCAGCGTACAACGTAGATGTAGCCACTACCAACTGATAAGGCTGGTCTTTTCTCATATCTTCAAGCTGTGGCGAGTAGCAGATGGTGCTACGTAGTGATTCTTCTCTCAGCCTTGGCTTTGTGCGGCCTTCGAAAGGATCGAGCTCACGAGACGAAGCAAGGGCACCCTTCCACGAAGATCTAGACAGAAGGACATAAGTAACTGATATTATAGCGCTTTGTATGTGTCTCCTTGAGTGTTGTCTTGAATGCTTTCAGATTGAGCTTGGAGTTGCGTGGTTGTCGTTCGGCGGGACCTCTGGATCAGGCTAGATCTTGCTCCTGGGGGAGGGAATTTCGGAAATGGTTTCCTTATGGTGAATGGCTTCAGGTCTGCTGTCGCATTTGGCATTTGTTCTTTGGGCGTCGTCTCGTAGCTGAACAATCAAGAGAGCTTTCCCTATCGTGCTTTGGAGCTTGGAGCGGTCGAGGCGGAGCGCGGGCTTCAGGGAGGGCCCATGGTAGGATGTGACTGGCGATCTGGATATTCAGTTAGCTAGTATGAGGGAATGAAGCTTTGGAAAGTAGATGTTCTTCGAGACGCTCCCAGGTTTGGCCTTTGCAGTGCTGAGGGTTGAGTTCTGGGTAGTCCACAACGAGATCTGCGGCCGCTTTTCCAGGCCTTTGGTTCAGCAAGGACACTGAATGCATCCATGCCGTCGTACTAGCGGGGACTGGACTGTTTTACCTGTAAGGCATGCTTTTGTCTATGGGAAATTCAAAGACGGTCGGGTGCAAGTAACAGAAGACCAAACACGAGTTGCACAAGACAATACGACTGAACTGGCGGATCTAGAAGTTGCTTAGCATTCTTGAATGAATGTATGAGATCCTCAAAACAAAATAGATCGAGGCTTGTCTGAAACAAACGAGTACCAAACGAAAAACAAAAGAGTGACAGCGGTGCCTAGAGAGGGTGATACACCTGATCAAGCCGTTCAGTGGTTAGTCCCCTGAACCCCAAAGGTTTTAGTGCTTCTTGCGCCGCCTTCCTTTCCTGTTTTACATCCTATAAAAACCCGCCCGCCATTCTTCCCCTCCCTCTTTTCTTCTTCCTCACAACAACCACCACAAATTGTCATCCCCCTTTTCTACCCCAACAAGCCTTTCATCCATCAACAAGGCCTAGCCGTCCAGTATCGGGCTTTCACACATCACCAAAAAACAGCAAATTTAAGCCTGATGCTGGACGGCCCCCAAATGGTGCACCGATGGCCGCAATACAGGTAAAGTCGCCCTTCTGGTATTCTTTGACCTTGGCGTGAACACACTAACTCCTCAACAGCCAATAACAGCATTCAAAGTGGCCATCGGTGCACTCTGCTCGTCCTTGCGAGCAATTCGGTAAGTTCTTGGCGTTGTACCTGGTGCCGCCAACCTGGCTGACCTCTCCAGCAAGGACGAAGCAGAAGGATGCTCTTTTTTTGGTTCTGGGAGAAAGTACTTGCCGAACTTTCTTGGTGCCACTCGTTGGTAATCCACGAGTGGCGGGTGGGCAGGGCGTCTACAAATACTATTACGCCTACTTTATGCCCTGCCCACTCGAAGCCCAGACGGGGCTCAAGGTAAGAATCTCCCCATGTACATCGTTTCACTCATGGCTAACGGTGTCGTTGGACCAGTCGACGGGACACTCACATTGGGGAGGTCTCAAGTTCTCTTTCACTTAGGTTCTCCCACATGTCACATCAGCATCATATGCGAAAGACATCCTTCCAGTCAACCCGCCACATCCAAGTGATTGGCCGACAGGAAGTCAGTCTCCAAGACCTCCAAGGCTGCCACCAATTATCTTACCATATACAATGGTCGAGCGTTATCAGTATGCTATCTCAGCAGCCCGCTGACAGTTAATCTCCTCTTGGTCTTGCTCCCATATCTCTTCTCTCAAGGTATGCCTTCTAACTCTCAGGGGTAATGAGCCTTCAAGCTAACACACTGATGAAGTACACGAGTCAACGCACGCAATAAGTTTCAGCTCTCAGCCATATTCAACTCTAAGTAACACGCCCCCTCGCAACAGGAGCAACTGCAAGCCGCGGGAGATACCTTCGGCAGTCAGCATATCGTCTCGCAGCACATCACAATATTTCGATGCCTACACATGTGGCATCTCCCTTCCAGGCATATTTTAGAGTATACTGTCCATCTTCACGAAGGGATTCTCACAACCACTTTCCGACTTATCCCACTGCCCAGTCTTCCTCTAGCCCGCCGAGGACCCTCCCAAGAGCAGTGAGCACAATTAAATTGTTTCTCACAGCCTCGCCGGGTCTCGATACTTGTTCCTCTGGCTCTCGGGCACTATCTATCAATGGGCTTCTATCCAAAGACTCAATGACAAGCTCTCAGCTACGATATGCTCAGCTGCGGATGACATATCTCCGCCAGCCTCGTTCCCAAGACATGGAACCGGGAGATTTCTCTCTCTCTCTTCTACCTTGTTTTCCTTTGCATATGCTATAAATTTATCCTCTCGGCTTGTGGTTCCTCATATAGCTGCCTCACCTCACTCCAGCCATCGTTCATTGATGGCTTTGCCCAACAAGTCAAGCCCAGCCTCCCCTACTTGCGATTACAGGATCATTAGCAACTGATGTGGCTAGAACTGGAGGTTCAAAGCTAACCACTAACCTATTGGTGTTTAAGCTTGATTTCATAGCTTTTGGAGTCTTGGGGAGAGATACTAGTTGGGGGCTGAGGAAACCGTGGAAATATATGGTGTTCTATCTGAAGTTGGTTTTCTGTTGTCTTATTCGGAGTTGGGAGCTGAGGGTCTTTCAGAATACGCAAAGATGGAATGGCAGAATATGGTCACCTTGGGAGTCTCGCCCTTACACTGCAGTCTTTGAAAGGTACTAAGTTGGATCAACGAGGAGGAGGAGGAGGAGGAGGGAGAGAAGCCAAGTTTCTATAGTATATCACCTTCGCAAAACAATCACTTCTCTGTTGCACGATCAGGGTTACTTCCTCTAATGAATGACGAGTCACACTTTATCAGCATTTCTTAGATCACAAACGCACATGGGTCAATCATAATATTATTTATATGATGTGCCTGTCCTGCCGCCATTTGAAGGGCAATCACGCATCAGCCAGCACGACATTTTGTCACAATTTGGGGTAATGTTTGTTGGAATTGCCTTTGTAAAAATATGAATGCTCAACATTCAACTGGCCATCGTCGGACTTTTGCCATGCAGCACACGTGAAGGTATTCAGGCGCCCACCTGGAGATGGGTCATTTGCTTAGTGGCCCGCGTCAGCTCAGCCCCGTTCCACGGAATCCTCGACTAAGATTGTGCGCACTACAACCAATTATGCCTCTCTATCGACTCGTTACCCTGCGGCGCAGTCAACATACCCCTGTGGTTTTGAATTGAAGTCATCGTGACTATACCGTTTCTGGTGCGATGGAGCGCTCTCGTCAATTACGCCTTGATCCAGTCTCATCTTTAGCTGACACTTTTCGCCATAAGCCAGATATAAGCTATCAGCCTCAAGCATAAGCAGACGTATAAATCCAAGCACCTCCTATCAAACGAGAACCAGCAACATCAGGGATCTCGCAATTGCCTTCTTCAAACCGTCACGATGGGACATTCCGACTCCAAAATACTACCCGAAATGTCGCCTCACTCCGTCCAACGAGGCATTCCCCATGTGCTCCGCGCCTCATACAAGAAGGGCTTCTCATCTAAAATCCTTGTCCACCTGGGAGAGCCCGATAGAGAGCCTCTCTATTCCATCAGCCTTCCTGCTGGCTGGTACGGGCAAATGCTCTTACATGATGGCCCCAGCTCGGACTCTCCTATCCTCGCCGGTGCTGAGCCTGAAGGCAAATGGCGAGTCGACTATGGCATTCTCCTCCCCTCCATCCCTGGATATGAATCATCAGGCAGAGAAATCCTACGCCGCAAGAACACCATGAAAGACCGATACTGGTTCGGCATGCAAGTCGGCCAAGGACCAAACCGACATGTCGAAAGATTCGAATGGAGGCGTTCTCACGGTAGTGAAGTCAAAAGCGTCGGAGAATCAAGATACGGCTGGAAGCTTGTCCGGCTGGGCCATGGAGCCGAAGAGCCTAACGATGGCAACCCCAACGATGAACCAGATCGGGGAAATGGAATTACAAACGACGGTCACGAGGTTGTGGCTGTGTGGGCTGGGAGCGGTGATTGGAAAAGCATGCACAAGATTGGAACTTTCCAACTTGTTGGTAGTGGTGCCACGGGTGAATTGGGTATGCAGTGGAAGATCATGGCACTTATGAGTTGTCTGTGTTTCTGGCAGAAGACGATGCGTGATAACACTACTATTGCTATCACTTAGCTGCCGGGAAAAAGAGAAGGGATTGAAATCATTGAGGAGTCCAGGTATAGGAGTCCTGGTTTAGCAGACGAGATAAAGGCTGATATCCACTAACAAGCAGTATTCCGAACAGGCGAAGCAATCACAAAACAAGTTGCCATCAACATTTAATAAATCATGATATTGTTCAACCAACACAAATTTCGTATAATGTATCACATTTGGCTACCTCCCCGAATAATTCTAGAGTCTCGACCTAGCATTCATGCAAGGGTATGCATGCTGTGCCTTACACCAAGCTCAGATGGGAACTGGCCAGGTTCAAAGAGCACTCTTGAGAGCTGTTGGTTTCAACATGATGTGCTACGAAATGCCTAAGCCTCAAAATCACACCAGCTGTCTGGAACCTCGTCCCGTTTACCCGTAGGCGAGGAGGCAGCTGATAGTTCTCCGGATATTCATGATTGGACTCTATATAAACTCTAGGATGTCATCAATACTCAATACACGAGATATCATCAATCACCAAGAATTCATTTTAGCAGAATATTATCAAGCCATTCTTCAATCAACATGCCTACTGCTACCGAATACTTTGGCATATCTGTCACCAATATTGGTCCTCTAACTACCACTTACACGCCTCCGCCAGCATGCACCACTGCAACAACCGACCACCTCCTCTATGCTCTCAAGAACTCTCTGATATACGGATTTGGTTCCCCAGACTGCAAAATTGACCCTTACGGAAAATGTCTTCCCTCCGGCGCTGCCGTAGATTCCTTCATCAAAGAGTATAGCCATCCAAAGTCTGGACAAGGCATTCACGCATTTCACTCTCCTGGTATTCACTGTCCTGAAGGTTGGACTACCGCTGGACTACTTGCTCACGGTGAAAAGACTGGTTCCACGTTTCGGAGTGGTGTTTTTACCACCACGGCGACCGTGAACTCATCGATGCCCCTGCAGATGGGTTCCGATGAATGGTGGCTCAAAGTCTTGGAGCCTTCCGAGACCCTGGCTTGGTGCTGTCCGAGGTATGTAGCTCTCTCATACAGTCTGTTCTACTATACACTAACTCCATCGCTCGCAGCGGCTGGGACTCTCTTCCCTACGGGTACTGCAGATCCTCTGTTGCCCCTGCTCTTTCATCCGGCTACGGCAGCGCTTGTTATGAGGCATATCCCGATAGCGCCTTCGCCACTGTCCACACCGTCGAGGGTGAACGTGTTTCTGACACGGACGGACTTATCTCTCGGATTCCCTCCATGACATACACCCAGGAAACGGTTGCGTTGACTGAACAATGGGGTGATCCTAGTTTGGTTGCTTCTATGGTTCTTGCTAGACAGTTTCCTGCCGTTGAGATGATCTACAAAGCTGATGATGTCAAGGCTGCTAAGAATGGGTCCAAGGATGATGATGATAAGGATGGAAAGAGTAAAGACGATGATAATTCTGCTTCGACTTTGTCGAAGGTCGGAGGGTTTGCCTCAGGGGTTGCATTGATGGTCGGATTGCTGACTGGAGCCGGTCTGTTGATGCCTTGGTGAGGTGGATATCACGATGGGAGGTGTGTCTTGCAGTTTGAGGTCTGAATAGTGGGTTGTGTAGGAGGATGCCTTTCTTAAGATAGTTTCTTGCTTCTGAGTAGGCATTCTACTTCTTACATATCACGTACCAAATTGAACAATGTAGTTTCCCTGGACTAGAGTCTGTAGACGTGACTTACTGGTTAACAGACTAAACATAATAAAAGGCTCAAGGATTGATAGGCCAAGCCTACATTATGGGCAGTCAAAGCGGGGTATTATGTACTTTTATCCGTGTCGATACCTGAGTGTTTGGATGCGCTCAGTTACAGGGTGTGGAGTTGTAATGGAAACCTGAAGAGGTATACGATGGAGGAAGCTGTGTACAGGAACCCACGGACCCAGACACACAGTCTCCGAGTGAACCTCTTCAGACCGCTACGATTGAAGAAGTTTCTCTCTTTCAGTATCAGCGATGATGGTGTTTCTACCCGGATTAGGTCCCTGGAGTCCGCCCCAGTGGCCTCCCCTCACACTTGGGTTTCACCTGATGTCACAAAGACACTAGGGCTGCCTGTATCAGCTTGTTTACTCGTGAGATCTTCGACGATTACTTAGTTACAACCATATCTGGCTCTTTTCGACAAGGTAGTCAATTTTATGTTAGTTCCTAATAGTGCCCTTCCATCGCACCCAGGCCGTTGGAAGTCGCCGGCTCATGTCGCGGACCAAGCGCGTTTAGTAGTTATTGATAGTATCTTAATTTAATATCACCATTTACCTGTTCAGCGGTCATTCATTTGCCTCTCATCTCGTCGTCTTCAACAATAGCAAATGCTCTGGTACCTCGCCGACCAGGCTCTTTGGGGAGTCGTGACGCGAAGGAGACAGCCTCGTTCCTTCCCCCCTGGGCCAGCACACCCGCCATCCTGCCCACCCACACTCCTTCCCTCTCGACGTCTTCGTGACCGACCATAAAACTCCATCCCTGACTCCCCGAGTTTTCTGCTCTTCTTTTCTTCTTCATCGTCACTCATTCATGTTCAGCCCAGTTCTGTACCCCAGCGTTCCCATGTATCCCCTCGCCTTGCACTTGCTTCCCTCCAGCGTCTTCTTCTTTGCACTCAGCGCTATCACTTCATGTATTTTCCCGTCATGTATCCCCTTGAGACTCAGATTGTTGACCTTTGGTCGATGATCATCACCGTCTCACACGCCCTTGTTCAACGGACAGCCCATTCAATGGCTGCTACCGTACCTAACTCTGGGCAAGAACAATTCAGTTTTCCGTGTCACATAGCCTCACAAGCGTATATGCAACAATAGTGACTGGCTAAATAGCCTGCTCACTTGGTGACATTGGGGTTTGGGAGCGCACCCCACTGGGTATAGACCAGCTGAGACATTTCCCCCGAGATTCCACTGTGACGCCCACTCCGATCGAGAACATCGAATCCAATGTCCAATGTATGCCGCCATCTCCAGGCTCAGTTAATTCCGTAGAATGTCCAAATGTGTTTGGTGAAACTCCATTGAAGATTGTCCATCATTGCCTGTGTATTAAATGTTCCCCCAGTGCCAGTTTGGCATCCCTCCTGAATCTGTGGCGTAAGGCTTTGATGAGTAACGTGCTTCTGGCGAAGAGTTGCAGAACTAGGGGACTTACACTGCCCATTCAACTTTTGGTCCAGACCCTCGTTGAACGGTGCTGGTGTGCTGCAATATTCCTTCAATATCGCCCACAGTCACTGGGCTGATAGAGTAGTCTCAGTCCTCCGCGCCTGCTCATTCTGTGTGGCTCGCGAGGCGACATTGGATGAAGGAGGAAGGAGGAGTGAGCTGGGAAGGCACGAACTCATACCTTCTTTGAGTGGGTCCACTCTCCAAGACAACATTTCGTGAAACTTCCTTCACCAGAGTTTATTTTGCTACAGCCTACATGAATGGGTCAGTTTCTTTTAAGAAAGCTGTAAGTAAAACTTGATCTAACTCTCTTTTGGCTGCGGAAAGAAGCTTGAATGTATGTGGCCTACTATAAATTGACGCGGTTGGCTGAGGGCATCTCCTACAAAGTTCTACAGAAACACTCACTCACAATGCAGACATGTATTGAGATTACTTTAAGAATACAAACCTACTCTTAACAAAGATGGCTATTTCGATGTTCGATAGATTGTACGCTTTGAGCAACAGTTTCAGGAATGAATGGCAAGTTGTACGGTCTCGAGTCGCAAGCTTCGACGTTGTCTCCAACCGCAGCCCCAGCCTTGCAAGCTCGACTCAGATCGAACATAATTACCAATACATGCTTTTTCCATTTTCTTAAGTGCGGTCTTGTCGTAGGTTGTCGCTCGATGCCTTCGTATCTCGGCTACGGAACGGGATGGTACTTGCTCATGAACGTTTGTACGTTGGCAGCTCGCATCGCCAGAGCAACTAGAAGTCATTGATGAGGTCATTTTCGTACGTGAGAGAAGAAGAGAATTTCTTGAATAATTAATCGCAATGAAGCTGCCATGTTGAGTCGTCGGTGTCGTCAACTTCCACATGCTGGGTTTGGTCATTGGGGCCAGCGAACACATGACAATGTGTTGACGCGCAACATCTCTCCTACAGACATCCATTATCGGGCATCTGGTGGACAATTGCTTGAAGTATTTGTATCAGTCAAGTGCGGTTGGAGATGGGATCATAAGGTCGCTTGCAAAAGGTTGTGCTCACCAACAAAGTCTTCAGGAGAAGGGAGGTGATTTTGCCCGTCAACCTTCCCTCCCTGCTAACAGCCGAGTACAGTCAACAAAAGTCTCATTCAATATGTCGGGAGGCTCGAAAATTGATACGCTGCAAAGCACATCGTCTATCCAGCAAAGCACACAAGGTCCAAGGCGTAGTAGATCACGTATCCTCACAACGACATTCATTGTGTGGTGGTATATAAAAACGCCCTCGGCGTAACTCGTCATCCTCAATTTTTCACGCGTCCTCGCGCGCATCATGTGCACATTGATCCTACACACGAACAAGTCCCTCTCACACTCAATGCAATCCAGCCTCCAGCTTTCTTGGTCTCTCAGGCGCTGATCATCGTAGACCCCAAAAGGTACTTTGCCCGTGGCAAAACCCAGTAAAAATAAAGCTCCGCAAGTAGATGGAATCAAGAAAGTTAAAGAAAAAGGAAATGATGGAATAGATGGTATCAGATTGGTTGCGGTTCGTGGCTGAGCTGGGGTTCAAACTTAGCCGTGCAGACCGCATGTACGCTCTCTCATCAGTTCACGTCTCTTCTTGTCCTTGGCTATAATAGAGGTCAGCATTTACTTTCTATTCTTGTGGGTTCGTGCAACTTATCTCCGTCGAAGACGAGGAACTCATGTAGACCGGAACCGACAGGCACCATGGGCAGGACAGCAACCTTCTTGTCGGTGACAACCTCCAGCAGAGCGGGGCCGTCGGCGTTAATGAGCCACTTCAGAGCATCGACAACGTCTTCGGGCTTAGAGACATGTCGGTTTTGGATGCGCATGGCCTCGGCGAGCTTGATGAAGTCGGGGTTGCTCTGGTGAGTATGGGCGTATCGATACTCGTAGAAGATGTTCTGCCATTGTGTGACCATACCCTGCTCCTCGTTGTTAAGAACAATAACCTTGACACCAATGTTGAACTGAGCAGCGGTGGAGAGCTCAGCCAGTGTCATGTTGAAAGAAGCATCGCCATCAATGTCGATAACAAGAGCATCAGGCTGGGCGACCTTGGCACCAATGGCAGCAGGCAGACCGTAACCTATGGTACCCAGACCACCAGAGGCGATCATGGATCTAGGGTGTCTCCATCGGAAGTGTTGGGCAGTCCACATTTGATGTTGACCGACACCAGTGGCGATGTAGGTCTTGTCCTTGCGGTCAGCAACAAGATTGCTGAGCTCCTCAATCAGAGTCTGAGGCTTGATGAGGCCAGAGCGCTCGGCACGCTCGTAGTCGGTCAGGGGCCACTTCTTCTTCCACTCGTTGATCTTGTTGAACCATTCCTTGCGGTCCTCCATGGTCTTGGACTCGATGAAGGGCAGGAGTTCCTTCAGGTTGGTAGCGACATCACCCTCGATGGCTTCGTTACAACCTAGGTGTCAATCTAAGACCGCCGTCTTATCTGAAGGGCATGGTAGAGACCAAGTTCGGGTTTGAGCTGTTGTAAGAGAATATACTCTGACCAACAGCTGTATATTCTGTGCTGCCCTTCTTAGTAATTTCTTACGGGAATAGACAATCCGACGCAAAACACGCACCACCATCGGGAACTGCTGTATCTCGTGAATCCTGTGATCAGCTTCAGCGTTGTATGTAAGTTGTGAAATAAGTCTCAGCGGCATGCAACTGCCCAAGTCTCTACAACAGCAACACTATGCAGCTGAACCATTGGCTCATTCATCTAACTTTGCAACACGACTAAACTTTGACTACGCCACCATTTGATAGGTTCAAGCTTCGTCTGCATTTCATTAGACTTGATGACTCACCCACTCGACAGCATCTGGTAACTTATTTATGAGAAAACAATGTCTGCGAGGAAAGATAAACAAGTGTAAAGCCAAGAAACCCATCTCGCAACCCTAATCGTTGACTAATGCAAGACTTGATCTCCTAGATCAGTTCCGAGTCTAGTGTATATGTCGCAACAACTTAGTTGTTGTTTATTGGTGCGAACCCCTCAATGATGTGGTTCATCTATCATTATCACATATAATTCTGGAGACTCTGGTGGACAGCTCGTGTATGTTTACCTTTTATGGTTATCGGGCCGTGTAGTTTTTCTGTTTGCGTCAGGCGATGAGTCTAAGGCGTTGTCGACCCTGTCTCAAGTTTGTGATACTATTGGGCCTGATATCATCATTGAGATATAAGAAGTTGTCTCCCCATTGAAATTCTTGAACCTTTCTGTCTATGACTTTCTTGGTATTATCTCATCTGCTCATTATTTGTTTCCATCTCCATCGATAGCCGGGCTGCTGTCATTCTTGACATGCCTTCCCATAAGCCGCTAATCATCGACGTTGGTGCCCAGTCGCAAAATACACCATCTTCTTTCGCTGAAAAGGAACGAGGAAACGCAACCTGGCACACTCTCTTGTCTTCGCCAGGAACAAAAACCACCTCACTGACCGGAGGGATCGCCACATGTCCTCCTCAAGGAACTCTGGCACTTCATCGCCATAAGCAAGCAGAGATCTACTACATCCTATCTGGTTCTGGAGAGGTTGAAGTCGAAGGAGAAAGATATTCAGTTTCCAAGAACAATCTTGTTTGGATACCAGGAGATGCAGAGCATGGAGTTTTCTGCAACAACAACGAACTGAGCTGGCTCTACGTTTTCCCCGAGGATAGCTTTGATAATATTGTGTATCGATTCACTAGTGAGGCGAAGGATCTTGCTGGAAAGATAAAGTCTAAGCTATAGGAGTATGGAGACAAAGATCTGGGTCTATTAGTATCAAGTCATGTATACATGAACTACAGTATTCAGCGAGAATGCCAAGAAAGACGTGCATTAGTTTATAGATATAACGGTATGAATCTCAACTAGTCGCCTTTGCACCAACAAATGACAGGGCTTGTCACTGAACCTCTTTTGGTTTCTCTAAGCAGAAGAAGCCATTAAAAGATGGTTCGGGGATGCAGGAGTTGCCTGTCATCGCTTTTCAGCTTTCTTTCTCAGGTAAAAGGTCTCGTACAGTTTATCAACCCCGAAGTAACTCATACTCTGGCTCTTCTCCTCAAGTAGTTCAAACCCGTGCTTTAAATAGAGGCCAAGAGCTCGTCGGCCCATGGCCACGATTATAACATCAAGGCCTAACTTCTTGGCTTCTTCGAGACCAGAGCTGACGAGCAAACTCGCTAGCCCTTTTTGTTGGTGATCTGGGTGAACGCAGAGGTAATGCAATTCTAAAGGACGTCAGCTTCAACAAGTCAATGCAGCGGTCTCTTCTGATTCTTACCCAGATCCCTTTCCTGCTTGTGCTTCTCTCTCCAACCGTCGATATGATCATCCAACTTATCGTTGTCATCTCGTGGATTCCAATCGGTTTCCGCATGGCGTTTTGCAAAAACTTCCTTCTGCTCGTCGCTCACATCCGGTGTTTGCGCTTCAAGCCAACAGTCCTTGTGCGACTCTGGGAGGATCCATCGTGCATATCCAACGATCTCTCCAGTCTCGAGATGAACTATTTTCTGGTGCCTTCGGACTTCTCTGTTGGTGAGCAAGTTCTTGGGACTTCGGTCTGCGACACTCTGGATCAAGGATTCACGAGTTCTGTCATTCCATGACAATCTCCACCATGCTTCTTCAAAGAAGGCCGAAACCTTGTTCTGTGCAATGAACGGGCCGTCCTCAACGCGGCATGGTGACTGAAGCTGATAGCCCGACATTGTTACAAAATTTAAATTACGACAATGAGAGAAATAGTAGATGCAAGATCAGTGTCCAACGGGCCACGTAGTCTGGGGAGGATTCAGAGATCTTTTGTCTAGTCCGATCCTGCAAGCCCTTGTCGATGGCGCAAGGGTGTACAACGTTATCTCATTGGAGTTGGCGTTTATCCAACATGCTTCTAGACCGCCAAGCCAATGCTACAGCATACCCAGGTACTCTGAGAAAGCAGTGGCTTCACTGAGACAAATGTAAGTAAAGAACAAGTGCAGAAGGCCTAAGACCTAATTACAAACCCTCAATCAAAAGGGTGTTATCTGCGGGCAACTTGGAAGGACCAACAAGGAAGCTGCAATGCCTCTCGCACCAGCTGCAGTTGCGAATATAATCTAAATTATTGACATCAATCTCACAACCAGTCGTATCCCGGCTGACGCAATTGGTTAGCGTGTCAGACTTTTACAAAACGATGAAATCTGAAAGTTGTGAGTTCGAGTCTCACGTCGGGAGATCTTTTTGGTTCTTTTTGACGTTTTTTCTATCATGCATCTCGTCAAGTAGAATCGATTGCGATATTTTACGTGTCGATCCGATGCGTTTTCATGGATTTACAAGGATATAGAGTCTGGAGAACACAGAGAGTAGGTGGGGCGAAGGTGCCACGTTTGGGCCTACTTGCTTTGGGCCACGTGACACCCGTCGAACAATCCGAGGAACGAGAGACTGTCAATAAATGAGTCCGGGAATATGTTTACTTCAATGAACTTTTTTATCTCCTCTATCTGACGTTCTCAGCAGCGGGTGATGACAGATGGGGCAGTTGGCGCAAAGATAATGTGGTATTCTTGTACCTAGATAAAATACTCTTCTGCGGAGTTGTCAATAAAGCGCTTACGGGGAAAGCCTGGAAGTATACCAGTTTGTAATTTATAGTACTTGATTGAGGAGAGAGATTCCCTGCACTATCACCAAGCTCATGTTGTATTCACAAGTAGTCGCAGATAAATCCAAGGCTGTATGTAGTACATTGCCGAGCTGGCTCTCTGTTCCGGCCGGTGCCGTAGGATCCACTTCGCTTCTTGCGCCGCGCCGAACCCGGCACACACAGGATCAATTTGAGATGTCAAGAATTCGTAGCGATGGAATTAGCAGTGTCATGCTATGGTAGATGGTGATTGGAGAGCTCTGTAATTCCGCTTGTACTCTGCATGAATCCCGAAAAAATAATAGGTACCCAACAGGTGGTTTCACAGCCAATACAGCTCGGCACTGGCTTTGGGCGTCAACCAACAGCCAAAGACACAGACAAAGAAATTGCAAAAAAAGAAATGCTTCATAGCAGCTACTGGTTTCGATCCAGTGACCTCCGGGTTATGAGCCCGGCTGGGATATGTTAGTACTCTGTTGTTGAGTCACATAGTGGAGAAGAAACATACCGCGCTTCCACTGCGCCAAGCTGCTTTGCTTGAGCCTTGTTGGTGAAAGGCTCCATTTTGTATCAGTATATGTAGGCAACCCATTCACGTGAACTCAGTCCCAGGAACAAACACAGCATGTCTCTATGCAATACCATTTCATATACTGGGTTGTTCCAATATAGGTCATGCCTCTGACAAACTGTGAAACGGTCTGTCTGTCTTTGCATCGTGATCGACAATTCATGGATGATCTGTTGCCTTGATGTTCCTATCCACAGCATCCTTCAGCAACGACGACTGTGTAACTCGGTCATTAATTGACCAAAACATTCCCATTTGACATCGAACTCTATCTTTGCGTTTTGTCTGAATGGCTCGAGCTTTTCGTCACTCAACCTTGGCTCTTCTCACTTTGGATGCTTCATGGCGCACTCCGAATACCGCTCACCCATGACCAACCCTTCGTTCTATCCGAAGATTTGCATGTTCTCAGACCTAGCTATCTACCTCCAATCTATTGTGCAACCATATCGCAATCTCTATCGTCGTCAGAGGTTTCTCGTCTCGCTCCCGTCACCACCAATTGGACGTGAAGGTGTGCGATGCCGACCGGCCGGTCCAAGCAGCACAACAAAAGGCGAAATATTCTACAAGATACTGTGCTACATGTCCATCATATTCTTCTTTTGCCGTAGATACAGTCTATGTTCCATCACTAGAGTTCATGGTCACCAATACAGTCCTCTGCTAAGCCACGCCTCGTGACTATGCTATGACTCACAAACAAAACCGTAATCCTACCACCTTGCAATCCCTCAAGAAAGGCTTCATATTGATGAAGTCACCGATGGTTATTTTCCTCTATCCGTGATCTCTAGATTTACTGTTAGTTGCCCTGTTGTTTTCACAATATTCTGCATCGCTAACATACCTTGACCCTGGTAACTGTCACTCGGCCAGTACATCACCATTTCTATAAAAACCTTATTTTGAATATGCCCATGGGTGATTTTGCCTGAGGGCTTTCTCTGGAGGTATCATCTTCCTTATCGGCGCAGTTTTGGCCTTTCACCATCTTCACGAGAATCTCAGGAGCTTTATGAAGCAATAAAACTTCTGGCCTAAAGCTACGATACCAAAAATAATTAATCTAGAGGCCAACTAAGCCTATATTGAATTTACCTACATATCTTAACCGCTTAGAATAGAGGTCGTAAGTTTTCTTGCCTCCCCTGGAGCAGCTATGCCATTACAACTTCAGGAGGCGATCACCACACGCGAGTTGATAACATATATGGCTGTGACAAAACTCTGGTTAGATAAGGTCTTGCCTGTATTTGACTTGGCACCCACTATTTCGCGCGAAATGTCCTATGCTATACACATCTTGGACTCAGATACGATCGAGATCTGCTTCCCAAGAAGTCGTGGGCGCTCCGTTGTGGGAAGAGGCATCCAGTGTTGCTTCAGCTGCTTTGTTCCCATCTCGGTTTGGGCATAAAGACTGTCCTATTGAGACTGTCGCATTGATTTGGACAGCTGTCGATCATCATTCCCAGTTCAGTTATCCCAGGATACGCATGTCACCAACAGTGACAGAATTTAGCAACGAGGCAAAACTGCAACATCGAATCGAGACGCAAAACATGAAGCTTAAGCAAGGCACAGGCATTGGCTTCACTCAGGCACATATAGTATAGTATGGGTGGGTGTATGCGGTCAGTCAATCCAGCCCAAGGCTTCACTCCATTATCACTTATGCAAATAGCACACAAAGATATGCTTGAAAATTTTATTAATTCATATTTCTCGCTGACATGCTTCCTTCCCTATCTATTCATATGTATCCCACCAGAGCAAATATCCTCAATTGCTTGCTAGCTTCACACAAGGGTATCTGCCAATCCCGGCCAAGTAATCCGCGCATAAAACCGCCCGAAAGATGCAATATTCAACAGAGAAAAACAAAAACATGCTGCAGTTAAACAATTATGTGCCCTATGCAGCGTTCCATGACTTTGGTTTCCCGTCTCATCTCATTCCATCCTTCTTCAACACCGTGGTATCTCAAAACAAACAAAATGACTAACAATGACAATTGAGAAAAGACAAAAAAAGGAAATAGGTATGTGGTTGTCTTGGTATATCCAAGGCAGACAAAAAGGAAATGTGTAACAAGAGAAAGTTCGTCAGATAGTGGAGGATGGGTATCCCGTCGTTATGTTCCTCGTCCTCCTCTTCAGGGGTGATTATTAGTACAGATATATGGTAATGCAGAGTTTGAGAAAAAGAGAATAAATGAAATCATGATGCTCAAAGAATGCTTTTCCGTTCCGAGATTAAAAACGCCTTATAGTCTCATGTCCCCGTCATCCAAGTAAAATGTTGTGGGCGAGCCGAACTGCTGCTGCTGGGCTTGCGGCATGAAGCCGGGGTTTGATGTGTACCCTTGTTGAGGGTGGCCCATTCGCATTGGCAGTTCGTAGCCCGCTGGCATAGACGTAGGAATCATCTCGGCATACATGGCTGGCACAGGAGGGACAGCCTCGTGCTCGGAAGCAGGGCTTCCATACACGCTTGTCTTCTTCTTGGGGCGCAGGTTCTCAAGGCTTAGTCGCTTGCCCCAAGATCCAGGTCGTTTTGAAGGAATAGGTGTGGCAGGGCGAGCAGCTACAGGTTGTTGAGGAGGCATGTAGACGTTGGTCATGACAGTGTCCTGTTGAGGGAAGTGCTGTTGCATGCCAGTCATGTCCCATTGTTGCTGAGGAAGCTCTTGACCAGGCAGAATGTAGGTCATGGACGCATCGGCAAAGGTGTTCATCTGGTCAGGAGCAAACTTAGGTGCATCCACTGGCCAGACATGCTCGTTAGGAATGGGGAACGGTGTTCCAGGATGAGGGCCAGCAGTGAGATCATCATGAACCATAGGCTCAGGAAGACCGTCCATTGGTGTCGTAGGTCGAGTCTCCTGCTTGATGCGTCGGGCAGGTAACGAAGGTGCCTCCGGTGTTTGAGGAGCCTGCTTCGTCACGGTAACCATCGGTGTGTTGGTCTCGCTGGTCTCATCTGCCGTGGATTGAGCACCATCGGCATGGCCAACAGTGTCCATCAGGCATTGAGATCGGAAGGGCAGAGAGAACTGCAGGTCAATCTCGCTTGGTGGCGGTGTAGTAGGGCTGGTGAAAGGCGATGTGCCCAGGATGAAAGCAAGACGAACAAGTGTTGAGATGTCTTCGCCAAGGTGACGAGCCTCAAGCATGCGCTTGAGATCACCAGAGGAGCGAGGACGCCATATGAGTTGCATTCTCTTCTCCTTGGGCCAGATACAAGTCTTGAAGACAGACTTCACCTTAGACTGACGCATGAGATTGTGTACTTGAACCTTGTACTCCCAGTTGTTCACATCAAAGCCATCCTCAAAGTGCTTGGCGATATGCTCAAAGTACTTGTCACGGCTAGATGAAGCCTGGTCGTTGGATGAAGCCTCAAAGACACGGTCCTTGCAGCTAGCAAAGCCACAACCAAAGACAACCTGAGGGCACAACTCTGTCTTTGCTGTGCTGTTGGGAAGAGCGTCCATGCGGTGTGTCTCCTTGGCGTGAGTGCTGTAGGCTCGCTCAGTAGCGAAAGAGAGATGGCAGCCCTTGGTCTTGCAAAGCCAAGTCACATCAGCACCATGGAAATTGTAAAGATGCTTTTTGAAATCACTTTTCCTGCCGAAGCCAACGGGGTTGTTGTCCAAGAAACACATGGGGCACTGATATTTCTTAGAGGTTGGTGTGACATGCCGGGGCGACGGGTGAGAGGTGACATCGCATGAAGGGATGGGTGACTGCATGAGGTTGGGCGAGTCGAGCCATGTGCGATCGGCAACTTTACCGATCTCACCATCGTGAATCGAGGGAACGTCGCCTGCGTTATCCTGCCATGTTGATTGGGTTCGAATCGAGGCCGCATCGGATCGTGCATGAGAGGCCTCAGAACTGCTCCATGCTAGTGAGGGAGCGCTGGTGTTGCTGAGGAGTGTTGATGCTGAGAACGTAGAGGCTCGTGCTGTTAATTGTTAGCAAGGCTTACATTGAATTGTGTGGA